CTTCGAACCGTACAAGATGAACGGCTCGAACTGAGGAACGATTTCCAGGAAGATATCACCGAGGTTCTTGACTACAGGGTGCTTTTGTTGCCTCTCTGTCAAAGCCTTGGCAAATCTGGAACTAACAGAGTGAATGCTAGGATGATCGATAATGTTGCTGAAAATATTCTGCACAACCTTTTCCCTCCTTGCAGCGGGAATAGGCGAACCCTTCGAGCGCAACGGCAAAATCCAGAAATCTCTAAGATATTCGAGATCTTTGACGAAGTCTCTTTCGGTATAGCAAATTTCGGAAATAACTTCTTGCCTCTTCTTTTCCCTGTCACCGACACTCTCAGCAATCTCCTTGGGGACGGTGTTAATCCAGAGCTTCTGTTCGTCTGTCTGGTCCGCATCGTCGTTGATAGTAGCGTCCTGGTCTTTCCTGAGGCCAACCTGTGGCTTGAGGTTAAGTCGAGACACCTGTTCTAATCTTCGTGGGCAGGCGATCGAATAGCAGAGCTGGTCCCTTGTGCATGTCGGAGAATAACATTCGGAGAGCAAGACGAATACACCATTGACCGGGTGCTTCTCTTCTGGCTCATCCATAAGAGTCTCCCTAAATTGATACATCTCAGACGACGAGTCTCGTAATCGGTGCTCATAAGTAACATCGTGAAAAAACTTCTGCGCATCAAGAGCTCGACCAAGGAGCAACGCCAGGTTTCTATCTGTAGTTCTAATGATATACGACAGGACGTCGACGGCCTCAGAACCGCTAAAAGCATTCTTGTACGTCAACTCGTTCTTCGTCCGATCGCCCGTGATTATCTTTTGGCGGAAACATTCGGCGACTCGAGAGAGAAGGGCAGGGTAAACCAACGGCGGCCGGATCTTAGCGGTAGGAGGTCGTTCACCCTCAATTGATTTCGATAGGGATGGCCGGTGAACTAGCTGCCGTGTCGGCTGTGTCTGCTGCTGAAGCTGTTGTCGAGCTTGCTCGGAAGTCTCAGGGACAATGGTACTAGCCATTGACATGGTGCGACTGTGGTCTCCGGCAACAGTCGAAGATGCCATGCTCATTGTCCTCGTTGCAGTACCCGGCGCAGATGTGTATCCGTTGAACGTGGGGTATCCGCCCGCATTCCCATTCATTGCCGGAGCCTCGTTCGAAGGTGCCCTCATACGGTTGGGAATCACTCGGCCGCTCATCATCTGATGAGCATCACGATCGGGAGGATAGCCAGTCATCGACATCGATCGATCGTCATGGCGCTCGGGGACTACTCGACCTTGTGCGGTTGTGCGAGACGACATTGTAGTCTGCGGAGGAGCCCGGAAATTATTCGGTTGGTTTTGATAGGGGGCGGGCGACGACTGATATGCCGGCTGCCGTGGCATGCTGGCGAGAGACTGAGATCTATACGGGTCATCACGCATAGCAGGGGCAGCCCCCGGTCCTCCCTGGTACATTCGGGGAGCTGGGTTTCGCGGAGGATATCCAGACGGGGCAGGTCCCCTCGAGTCGAATCGAGGCTGTCCTTGGGGCGGAGGGCCAGGATAAGGCCTTTGATTCGGTCCTGGAAGCGGCTGTCTTCCATACTGCCCTGGCATCGGGGGATAACCTCCAGAAGGGTTTCGCTGACTTTGGTAGTAACCATTGGCCATACTCGTATCCATAGTTCTAGTTCGGCCAGTGTCTTCATAGCCCATTTGCTGTTGGGGTCGTGGAGGGGGCCGTCGCTGCATATCATGCTGCATGCTCGACACGGACGACATAGTCTGGGTTCTACCCTCTTGCGGCTGCACGTTCGGCGTGTAGCCTTGCGACGACGAGGTCATAGTCCCGGTTCGTCCTGGAGGGGGGGCGGAACCGAAAATGTTGGAGAATGCGGCATCTCGCTGATTATTCGAGGCCGGGCCATATCGCCGTTGGTCGTATGTGTAATCAGCCATTCTCGTAGTCCTAAAAAGGGTGAGGTTACGTAGTCAGCAACAGATTCGTCGCCCAGAGGCATAAGAAGGGTAAAAAAATTATCAAAATGTACGGCGGTGCCGGTAAGGTTGTACAAACACCACTTCGCATACGCAGGTGCAGCTTCGTATCAATACAAGATCCAGGGGTGTGTGGCGTCACGTCACTTACTCTTACAAAAGCCTAGGCGGCCGGGAGCCTAGACAAGAGACTATGTAGGATAGTCCGCAGATGGAGATAAAGGGGTGATTGCCGACACTGACGACGGACTCACCGCCGTGGGTGGACGGCCGTGATGTGCGAGCGATATCCTACTCCCTCTAACTTGTCCAGTCTTTTCGTTCTTCCAGAGGTTTTTTCTTTTTTTCTTTCCCCCTTTCGTCTTTCGCCTAGAAATGTACAGGTTCCCGCTAAGTTAATAATTGGATGCAAATCGCTAGTGGAACGGGATAACAAGTGATTTGGAGGGGAGCGATGAGCAAGACGTCGGCATCGAATCGAATAGGTGGGTTTTAGGGACAGGAAGGGAGAGGTCGGGTTAGGTAGGTAGGTAGGTAGGTAGGATTTGAATGGGCGCTGTACGGTAATCTGTACAATCTGTACACTGATTGATATGATCAAGGATCAGAAGAGCAAGGACAATTGGTGTCTGCTTCAAACTGCTAAGAACTGGACCCCGGCATCTGGGCAGGACTAACAATAGGCCCGGGTTATCATCGGCTCGGAATTTGTTAGGTAAGGAGTTACAAACTACCTAGGTACATATCATCTTACCTCATAAGGTCGGTCGGTCGGTCACAAGCGTTACTTGCAGCCGTCAATTAAGATAGGTGGGTAGGTAGCAATTACCTTTTCTATAGGAGCGTTGAACATCGCCATATAAAAAATATCTTACGTGTTCGCGACTATAGAAGGTGCGATAGCGTGTACGTCTTTAGGTTTGATCGAATTATAGTTCAACGGGAATAGAAAAATCAAATCAATTGGCTACGAACTGTATTACAGTATGTACTAGCGGAAAGTGAATCTACCAGCCTGCATATCAACATATGCACTGGTGCAGCCAGATGACGACTTCAACATTTTGCTGCAACAGAAGGGACGCCACGGACCATCTTCAGACTTCCCCTGCGCATTCGAATGAACAAATACGACAGCCCCGTAAACCCGTCTAATATATTGACTCGAATCAAATCCTATTGTTAGCTAATTTGAGCCATTGAATCTGTTTCGGGACTCATCCATCAAAAACGAAAATTTAGGACCGTGATTACAGGTATCGTTAGTAGGTATCAAAGCTTATTTCTGGGCTGGAACATAAGATGGCTCATGCATAATTCACTGGATGATGCGTAACAAATCCGCGTATATAAATATTTGTGGGGTAGTCATCAGCGTGTGAGCATTCATTGGTTCATTTGGGTAACATATATAGAACCGTTAGCAGTACTGAACCGTTAGGTACCTAAATTAAACAATCACGTGGTCCCCGGTCAGTAAGGTTATTCGAAAGCCGCGTTTGGTTCAAAGGCAGTTCAGCCGGTTTAGCTTCATAATTCTATCGAGGCTCGACAGGTTCGGCAACGGCAACGACAACTCTCTATATCCCCCGAGCCCAATTATTTCTCTTCCCTCAAACAGTTTGTAGACATTTAAGAATCATATCCATCATGGCCGAATCAGAGATCGCGCCTAAGTTTGCCCCCTTCTTCGGCATGGTAAGCTCGAGATTCCATCAGTTCCGTCGACATTGAAGCTCCCTTAACTACCATACTAACAGCATCCTCGACAATGTAGGCCGGTATTGCGTCTGCCATGATCTTCGGATGTACGATCCCCGAATAGCGCTTCGTCCCCTAATTATACCGCGTGCTAAGACAATAATAATATAGGCATTGGGGCAGCATACGGAACAGCAAAGTCAGGAATCGGTATCGCAGGCGTGGGTACCTTCAGGCCAGACTTGATCATGAAGGTTTGTCAAAGCCTAGTCCAGCTCATTTCGCGCTGGTTTCCTTTGCCGTAGCAACCAGCCTTCTAATATGATGACTGTTGTAGTGTCTGATTCCCGTTGTCATGTCCGGAATTATCGCAGTTTACTCGCTTGTCATCGCCGTCCTAATCGCCGGAGATATGGACCCACCGTCACGACAGAGCTACAGCTTATTTACGTATGTCCCGAATACCGTGTTTGAACGAATAGGAAAGCTCGGATGAAACTGATGTCTAAAATAGGGGCTTCATGCATCTAGGATGTGGACTCTCGGTCGGATTCACGGGCGTGGCTGCTGGATACTGCATCGGGATTGTTGGTGACATGGGGGTCCGCGCGTACATGGAGCAGTCGAGAATATTTGTTGGCATGGTTCTGATCCTCATTTTCGGTGAAGTCCTGGGACTCTATGGGTAAGTCCAGACCTCTACGGTATGACAAAATATCCCTACTCACCGCACATAGTCTCATCGTGGCCCTTATTCTCAACACCAAGAGCAAGGGCTAAGTTATTCGAACTCGAGCGGTACCATATCTCATAATGGTCACTAAGTGTTCACATAAAGAAGCATCAACAGTCTGTAAGGACAAAGTGTAATCAGTAGCTACATGGTCGATGGCGTTTTACGGGTATGTAAAACTAAGGGTAACCATTAGAATCGTTGACGGCTGGCAGGTTAATATTCGGTCAGATGTACGACCAAGGCCTCCATTGATGAATATGACATTTTGAACTACAAGCTAGAGATTCATCATAAACAAGGTTCTTCGAATTCGTGTTAAATTGATGCTAAATAGGAGTTGGCTAGCTACTGCAAAGCCCAAAGGAATGCGGAAAGAAATAGACAATCAATCTCCTCGCGACATATCTCATGGCCTCATCCATTCATCCGCATGGACATCCCGAATCTTGAAACCCAACCAGAAAAAGGATGTCCCCTGAACCTGTCTAGCATGCCTAATCGACGCCAAAACAGTAGCGCCGCCCAAATGCGTGTGATAAGAGACGAAACATAATAAAGCGCCAAAAGGAACGGAAAGAAGTGTAACGCGGCCATTACCAGTCCTAGCCACAGTTTCCTCTCTACGGGAGATGGAAAGCCCAAGATCGCAATAGAGATTGCGACGGAAATAATTCCCACGTGATAGGTCCAACAGGTTGTTCATCGACCGAAGCGGCGAGCGAGTCTCCCACGGCTCTCGATGTTAGTGCGGAAGCTGTTCCAACCTCGCTCACGTTCCTCTACATCTCTCGTCTGACCTAATAGTTTCAAAACGTTAGCACTCAGCCTCAATATCATGCTAACCAAGATATCCATACGCCTCGTCAGTCGAGGTTTCCAATATGTACGAAAATATATCATCACAAAGCTGAAAGTTTCGATAAACCTACCCAGAAACCAATCCCAGTGTCTGTCCTCGCGAATCAGAACATCATCTCCATTCTGTCTTGCTAGTCTCTCGCTTCTCGCCTTCGCAGCCGCTTCCTCTCCAACCAGGTACGGATCTTCGAGAGGTCGCACTTTATAGGGGTCAGCATCGTCGGCCGCAGCCACAGCGTTCATGCGTTGAACCGCCGACCGCAGGGCGCTTTCGACTCCTCCCCAGTGAGATCCATTAGCAGCGGATACGCGACGGTGGGCAACCCTCTGATAGTGGCGAGCTGTCGGGTTGCTGCTCATCGAGGACCAGCTCGGGACTTGGAAATGACCGAGGTGTGGTACCTCGCTACGGCGGCGCGGAGAGGGTATCCGTGGTAAGCCCGCTCCCGGCGCAAATGTTGAGGTCATGGGAGTTGGCGTTGGGGATGGGTTCAGCATGGACGTGTACCGCGGCGGCGATGCCAGCGGCGAGCCTCGCGGCTCCGGCGGTGTGTACTCGGGTACATTTTCGTTGGTAGGTATCGTTGAGTGATATGAAGGCGCTTCGGACACTAGAAAAAATCTCTTTGTTAGCTCTTCCTACCATAGCGTCTAATATCGGTGAAAGAAGTGCCTCACTATAAGAGGGGGCGGCTGAACGAATAGAGGCCGTCTCAAAATCCTCGGCGCTGAGAATTTCCAAACGGGATAGCCCGTTATGGATAACTGTTTCGGTTGCCATCGTATAGACTAGGAATTTAAGTCTCGCAAGTAAAGGTGGCGGAGTGGTGAGTGTTAAGGAGGTAGGTTCGGTGAGAGCACTTCGCACATCTGGTCGAAGAGCTCCCTTATTATTCAGGCCTAACACTCAGTGTGAGAGCCAAAATATTAAAATTAAATGAATCAGAAAATCGCAACCATGAAATTAAGCCAGATAACAACTTGAGACAAGATAGCTTTCTCTGGAGGGTTAGGTTAGGAATGACAGCTTGACTTAAACAAAATACCAATATAGGTAAGGGTTCACAATGACGAAGACTAGTCACGACGAAAGCGAGCACACCACCACTCAGGTTCCTTCTCCAGGTACGTATGTAGGCAGGTAGGATTCAAGCTAGAGAAAGCTTGAAGAGATAGATGAAGCGTGGTGTGAGGTGTGCTATGAGATGTGAGATGTATGTTGTGTATGCACACGTGAGAGTTGCAGAGAAGAACTGCTAAGATAGGGATGGTATGGAGGGACAAGAACGGGAACGGAGTAAGGCACACAGCCATCCACCACCCATCCCCCACCACGATGGATGGGGTTTACATATGCAAGATTCTACTGGCCCCGTTCCGTCTCACTCTTGGTCTCGCTGTCGTGCTACCTTCTATCCAGGGCCGAGCTGCGTCACGAATAGGCAACCCGTGGAACCTGCGAGCCCCGACTATGTTTCTCCGTACAGTAGTACTAAAAGAGGTAGTTCGTGGACTTTGTGGAGTTCGTGGAGAAGAGGATACGATCAATGGAGATATTTACCTAGGTAATTTGCCGATACCCGGGTGCTATCGAGGGAGAGGGGAATAAGTTAGGTGGGCTAGGTATGTACATGCCGCTGGGTACATGTATGGTGGAAGTTGGACAACGGAGAGGAGCAAGAGCCCGATATTACGACTACAGTACATAGGAATTACGACAGTTCAGCAGTCCCCACTAGTTATACCTATTTAAGTAGGCCACTATCCATCTGATTGGCTATACCTTATCTTATCATACCCATGCTACCCCGGTCACAAGTAATGATTGGGTGAGGGGTATCGTGACTGAAGCTAAACGGTCTTAATATCTTGACCGCAACGAGAGAAGTCTCCTTCCTGCCTTCCCAGGGCGAGACCAGCGGGGTCTATCCGGCGCAGATTGTCGCAATGTAGCGGGGTATTTGCCTAGGTAAGTACGGATTAGGGTTCTAAGACAGGGGTATAAACATTACTGTCACTTGGACAATAATACCGCATTTCTATTCAGGGCTGAGAATGGCCATATCGTACGGGTCTGTAAGAATAATAATATTATTTACTGAACGGTTACATCAATTGATCACCAATAAATTTTGTTATTTATTTATAACCGTACAGTATGTAGTATAAGGCTATGTATAATATTATCCACTTCTGAGGATTGACGACTCGGAGCTTTGGTGTTCCTGGCTAGATCTTCGCCTGCATGTTCTAGCAATGCACAACGGCCCGCCTAGAAAAAAACCTGCTCGGCCATGATTGGGAAGAGAACCGAGACAGCTCAGCAATTCGGGATTATCATTCTATACGAGATATCAGTACAAATCAACAGCAAAAGATTAAATAAGACACATATCTCTTCAGCTGTCTAATATTAAAACACGAGCCTTATTATACTTGGTTATATAACCTAGCCGTTTCATTATAGGCAAACCCGGGTTTATAGCCTACCGATGCAAAAGAAACAAGAAAGTAACCGGAATATATGGGCTTTGTGGCGAACCACGTCTTATAGCTATTACATCACTTAAAGCTAAAGTATCATCATTCTTATTATAAAATTACGTCGTTGTTATTCTTAGAATTGACACGACCCATAATGGATTTCCCATGTCTCCGGCAAAAGATTCTGTTGTCTTCGTTGCGAAGCCGAGTATGCCGTGGTAGTTTACTGTTTAACTATTTACTGTTTAACTAGCTATAGCATAGCCTCATAAGGTTAGTATTGCCATTAGGTTGGCGGGTCTAGACTGTTAGATCAAGACGAACCATACATCGTATGTCAGTTACATGGCGAGATTCCGTTTTTTCCACGTTCCTGAATACACGTACTTTAACAACTCCCTCGGCTCGGCAGTAACCTTAAGACCACCTACATGCATCTATCGGTGGTCGCCAATCTGCCCTAGATCCTACCCGGAGTCGATGTCCTTATCTGGCAATCAATCATCTGCAGCCCTCGCGTGAGACTTAATTCGCAACCCTTAGAGATTCGGGGTTCTTAATCGGGTGCAGATGACACTGCTTCACTGCAACCCTGAAAGACACGATTTATCAGACGAGTCGAAATAACACCAGCCTCAACACAATGTTTCTGTTATGTTATACCACTCAAGACTTTGCTTGTTCACAAGGCAAAAAGATCCGCCTGCGTTCTAACCCAGTAACCGTTAACCCTAACCGTTGTCCCATAAACTATTCGTACAGATCCCACGTCACCGCCCCTTTGTCATTATATGTCGTGCCTGAAATCCACCATATCTTATCCGAAAACCAGCCCCCAGGTTCCCTAAAAGCCCCGTTTCCACCAATCCCAATGCGTGCCTATATGAACAGTACCAAGTAGATAATAGCTTTTAGAGAATAGCAGAATAGTAAAGTAAAACTACCATAGTCGTCGTTGATAATATACTCGCTCTTGGCCTTCCGACAACCGTCGTATCTCCTCTTTGATCTTCTGCCTCCTCTCAGCTCTGCTGACTGGCTTCTCCTCCAGCTTCTTCTTGGGTGTAGGTTCCTCCACAGCGTTCGGCGTTCCCACAAATGCCCCAGCAGCGTCGTCTTCCTCCGGCGCAGCAGACTCTTCCCACTCTGGTTTCTCTAGCTCCTCCTCCGGTATACTAGGCCGCACAATGACAATATCTTCCTCCTCTGCGCCATGTTTCTTACGGCGGTGCCGCAGTCGCGATTCGTTTATCGTATCCTCGAGCTGGCCAGGCGAGTTATGGTGTTCTGGGAAGTAGACTTTGGGACTCGGTCGAGGTATTCGGTTGGGTTTGATGGCTGCTCGTAGGTCGCGTAGTGTTCGCTGCTGGATTGTATAGCCGCTGAGAAATAATGCTGCCGTGAACAAGACAACTAGAAGAAGAAAAAACGCAGATCATTGTCAGTTTGACCGTTGCACTATTTTAGGCTGTTTACCCGTTTTGGAGGGGCTCATCCATACCAATTCCTGACGAAATTATAACCGAGACCTGCGACGATGTCAAAAGCATTCTTGTTCGAAATTGTAAAAATCGATATATATAGGTAAATATGGAAATTCGGAAATACAGAGCTGGATGAAGATAGTAGCTTATGAAGCGATATACAATAAGTTGAACGCTTCCAAAGTGTTGACTAAGAACCACCTTTTGAGAACCGGTTTCCTGTTTTGTCTCGAATCTCGTGTTTCCCCGGCAACGCACATCAACCCTCTCGGCCGGGGTGCCGGCTTGGCGATCTGATCCCGATCCCGATCGCAGATCATACGGTAACACCCTTGCGACGAACTTTTTAAATACGCCGGGTATGTTAACGATTAGGTATTATTTATCAGGTAGGGTTTTGATAAATTGTATCTTATGACTATTTCATACCTCTTAATGCACCCTAGATACTACCATGCCAGCCCCTTTTTTCGCATACGAGTTTGACAACTACTCAACCGTAAGCATATGTACAGTCAGTCTCCTAAGAATTAAAATAAATCTATTCTGAATGGGGTACACCGATCCAAGTCAAGTCTTTACACCTCTTATTTTCCTTCGTATTGATTTTTGTACAAGAGGTCGTACCTAATACCGTCTGTCAAACTTCATCAAGACATTGGATTCGCCGAACTCATACTCTTCGCGTACTCCGTTAGACAACAACTCAGCCATGGCTGACCTACTACTTAGTATAGTGTCAAGTATAACTTTACATATGCCGACTATCCGATGTCCGGTATCATTCTATCATTAGACAGCCATCATTGGTAGGTACGCGGGAGAGATATGTGTGAATTGATGCTATCTAATCGGAACTGACAAGTCGCATCAGAGCCTCCTGAAGCCAGGACCCTTCGTTGCATAACTACATCTTCGGCTTTTATACTTTTCTTACTTGAGTGAATAGACTAGATTCTCCATGCTGATCGGCCGCATGTAATCTTCAGTCCTAGTACTCCCTACCCGATCGCTTACCACTGACCAGCAGTGAGCCAATCAGTTGAAATCTATCCGGAACAATTCTCTCGATACCGCCTAACATTATCCATATGGGATTCGGCTCGAGCATGACTTCACCCTTCTCAACGCTCGATCCTAAGTACTGGAAGAACTTGTCTGCTACCTTCCGCGCTCCCGGGCTTGCTGGTATTTTGAATCCTATATAATAGCATTGCTTAGCAAGGCAGCTCTGTGTAGGACAAGAACGGGGACGGGGGGGACGGGAATAATTACCAAAGAATTCAATATCAGCACCGAGACACTCCCATGAGGCACTGTAGAGTGTCTTAGCACGCATATTGCTCAAGTCTAAACTTCCTGTCTCTTCTGAGCGGAATATAGCAAGTCTACTACCCGTAGCGGCACGCAATTTCTCAGGCCAATTCGCATCCCGATAGTCAACAAGTAAGTCATATTTATATGGCTTTTGCTTCAGGAGAGCGTGTCTAGAGGCGCTAGCAGCACCGATTAGGCAGATAGGCTGCCTAGTCGTCCGCTCAACCAGATGAATCACCTGTGCCAGATATAAGCCAAGGGAAGTGCTCGAGCCATATATGAGGACGTTGACCGGGCCATCTTCTGGCTTGCGGCCGTCGACCGAAAATAGTCTGAGCTGCAGTTAGACCGTTTACAGTAATTGAAGAAGCCTGTTCAAGGCTTAGTTGGTCTGGTATCCTCCAGACTAGGTCGTATTCGTACTCGGCAAAAGCGCCAGGGCGGTCATTCGTAGAGCATGCTGTATATTACATAGCTCTCGTGTCAGTTTGGTCATTACCAAGTTAGCCTTTGAGAGCCTCTTGACACTCGCCTCCCTGGACGCATCCAGCAACACGGGTTCCAACCTTGGCTCTCTTATTCGTACTATTCTTCAGGGTCTCTCCGACGTCAACCGCTGTTCCTGCGAAATCCGAGCCTAGAACACGCCTCTCTTGCACTGCTGTGATTCGTTGGACGAATATGTAGTCCATTGGATTGAGCGCTGCTGCACCCACGCGAACCAGGACCTCCGTTGGGCTAGGGGCAGGCGTAGGAATATATTCGACTTTGACAGACCCATCTCGAGGATAGAGCACAAGAGCTTTCGTATTTCTTCTCAAGCAAAATTTCTTATAAGAATGGCACTATGGTTTCGTACTTAAGAACAGCAGCGAGATATATGGTAAGGAACAACAAAACATGGCAAACGATAGCCTTAAATGAGCGTGGTTTCGGAAAACCTGACAAATAATGGCCGAACTTGCCGTCTTCGTTATACCAGACAACGAATGCGTTAAAGATCTTAACGGCGATAATTTAGTGAGTTTACGCTTTGAAGGTATTGAACGTCCTTGGCGTTTCAGGGGGGCTACGCTTTATAGTATCGTGGCTTATACAAGACTAGCAGGGACCTTATACAGCATCATAAAGGTATTGCATGCTGATTAATGGACCATCGTAGGGAGTCTCATTCATGGGTAAACAGAAAGCTTCGAATGTAGGTGTCTATTGGACATTGGTAACAATCTTATAAAGGAGGAACCAACATCTTCCCAATCAAGGGCTCTTCCGGCGCTCTGATTGGTTCGGAAATATAAGAGTTCATGTACACAGAGTCCCTTGCATCGTCAACCTAGAGTAGTAAGCTATATGAGATCTCTGGAGCCAGACTTCATGTTTGCCAGTGCTCGGCAGCTCCGAAGCAGATGATTAATTGTAAGGATTGTTATCTTATTTGAGTCAATGTAGGTACATAGAAATTCGGAGATTGGCGTACTCCCAACGCCCCTGTGCAGATTCCAATTTATGACATTGCCAACACGCTGGATACAACCCCCTTTTAAATCCGACCAAAACCCAGTCAAACGGGGATACCTATTCCCACAATTATAATACATTTGAGATACATTCTAGTTTCCTTTTAGCTTCAGCCCCCAGTCATACAGCATCGTACTCGACATCTATTCGCGTATCCTTCACGATTATTAGTTTGCGGCTCGAGGAGTCATCAGAGTCGCTATTGTCGTCCCGCCACCCCGGGCGCGACTGGGGTCCCGCTTGGCAAGTTGTTACCAGCGAACCATCTCGATCTGCCCGCCTTGTGCTTCCGAGCCGTATGGGGTGGGCTGCGGCATCGGGGACTGCGGGAAGTGCTTGCTTGCCATTGAAAGCGTCGAAAGTAGAACCTCTATTAGCTTGAAGCTCGTAGGTCGGATTCTTGCTGTTTGAGCTGAGCCCGAAGCCGTATTTTGTGAGAAGCGGTCGTAGCGGCGGGAGAGAGCCCGCGATAATGCCAATGCCGCACTCAACAACGGACCAAACCATTATGAGGCACCCCCTATCTACACAGTTGTTAGTTGTTAATGTATAGGTATTGGGCGCGTAAAGATATTAGATGTAGCATACAGAGACCATCGAGAGGGCTTGCGCCAACGTGTACATACATGCGTACATATGGTACTCGAATGCAGGTGCATATACTGGCCCTGTAGTGTAAACCATGAGTTAGTCTGATTCTATGATGATGTAAGATAGCTCTCAGAGGATAGGACGACATACAAAGCCCCAAGAGATAGAACAAATATAAGCGATGCCTTGACTCTTGGCTTCATCTTCAAGTTCCACAGAATAAGTGCAGGAAAAATCGCACATAGCCAGTCAGTTACGACGGTGATCGCCGACATAGCGAGAGACATCTTGCCGACTATGTCAAGCCCGCTGCAGTCGCCAGATCCTCCCTCCCAGCTGACGCTAATGGGTTTGCATTGGCCTAACACGGCCCCAAAACCTATGGCCGACCCTATGACGCCAACAACTATAGTAAGCCATAAAGGGATAACGTAGCGCTTGTCTGAGGTGATTCGTAGGAGAGCGACGCAAATACTGGTCTTGATAAATGGAAGACACACCATATAGGCTGCCTCAGAGACAAATATCCCTAGAAGGTAGAATACTGGTCAGTTCCCAACAGCGAGGTTATGTTGTAATATAGCTGAAAGTATTAGGGACATACATCTCAGCCCGTTCTGCTTTATTTGACCCGTTAGGTCTACTTTAGAAATGACATCGTCTTTCGCGCCCCAACCTGACAAGCAGCCCATAATGGCCACAACGCAGGAGAAAATATAGATAATCTGTAGCAAAACAATTACACCGTTAGTCAGCGTTGAGAAAGGTTAATATCCCTAGCATTATACTTAGAGACGAGTTAGAAACTTACGAGACTTATCACCGTCAAGTAGTCGTCGCAGCCGATAGCCCCTTTCTTAGCTCTGGCCCAGATTCGCAGGGAGACGGTGATGCAAGAGACGACACCTAGGATTATGGTAGCGGCTAGCGTTCCAGCACCGAGTCCTTCCGATATATAGATCGAAACAGAGTTTTCCATGATGTCTTTAATTCCAAATCTAAGGCGTTGAAACTGGCGAAATCCACAACCCTAAGAGGCGGATTGGAAATACTCTATATAGAAATATTTCAATGCCTCAATCCCAACCAGATATTGTGAATGGACCTGTTATTACGCATATTTTTAGTTGATACAATTGTTCTTCTCTTGGAACATAGCAACCACGAATAGGTCGCCATGATAACCCTGCTTACATTCGGTTATGAATTTTTTTGCTTGCCGAAAAAGACCACACTTCAGTAGTCTTCTCGGCCTATAAGAAGCGAGGACAACGGTATCCAGAACCAGTTCTGCGGAAACGAGTGTAGTTCGTCACGTAAGCATAAAGGGTTTTTTTATCAAAAAATAGCGTTGAAGAAAACGCAATGACTTCAGAGACCCTCAAGTTTAAGCATGAGGTGGTAGACATATGTTACCATTGTAACAGCCGCATGGACTCGGATCTTAGTCCCCGGGCTTGGATATGCCAGTTTGTACAAATTGTCGTCGATACTGATTAGGGTTAACCGGCATGGGGCATGTTGGTTCGAGGATGCTCTACTATGGCCCTAGTGTCTATCTCTTGTTTGCGTATCCTAATGGGACACCGGACGGGGCATCCGGTCCCGGGACAGAGGATACGACAAGGTTCAGGTTGTTACCTGTGGTTAGCTCCCTCCGACGCGGAATCAAAGCACCGGTCTGCTGTCTACTATTTAGATATTAACCCCGCGATCAGATTCCAACGCGCTCAGGGGTATTACATGTCTAAGCCGGGGCAAGAATGATTCCCTAAGTTAGGTCGACAATACCTATATGATACGCACTGACCCGGATGCAAGGGAAGCGAGAGGAATGTGGAATATTGATTAAGCGAATTTAGTTTGGAAGATTAACTGTCATCTGAAATCTAAGTAGTCCTAGTTGGTACTGAATCTTATCCGATAAAGTGGTGAGTGGACGACGGATGTCGACCCGGATGAGGGTTATAGCCCTGTAGTTGGACTCTACTATATGAAGAACGACTAGATTAGCCCCGATGATTTCCTCTAGATATCATGGTAATCGCCAAGCGACAATAGCCGCTCTAATCGAAGTTGTTATGGAACGCTAGATACTCTATCCCATTCGCTTATATCTCGCGAGAGCGACATTCTTTAGAGTACAGGGATAGTACTAATATTTAGCCGCGATCAAGTCTAGGACCTATGTAACTTTGTTCCTTGTTGATATATGAAGGGGCCTTGACCAATGTTATCCTCCACAAATCAAGACGTTGATTTTATACAGATAACTAGACATAGAAGATATTAAAAATTCCAACGACCTATGTAACATCTAGAGGAGTTCGTAAGTACTTTCTTACATAAAAGTTTCTTTCTCTAAACAGACTATAGTCTACGCCACGGGTATGCAAAAACTCAAATGACCCTACTATGGAAGCAAGGCACAAGTCGATTTGCCATCCTGTGAAACCTCGAGCAATATAACGTGATCCGGTTCCCATTCTCGAAGCCTCTCCCGTGCCCCAACGACGAATTCTCATGCTGCCCTATTAGCGGAGCCCCTTGGCACGGGAATGAAAAAGATTTTTTTTTTTTTGAACATCGGTTCTGTGGATAAAGAGGGCTAGGATTGTTTGTGAGAGTTCCACACAGATGTTGTAACACAATGTTAAAGAGTATACGATAAACCTAGGCCCGAGCGCTCAACATGCCCATCTATGTAAAATACTAATCTGAGAGGCCATCAGACCTCGATCGATGAATACGTAATATTAGTCAAAGCGTTCGGTGGAGGGACTTTATATACTATGGGGTTATATTATGGATAATCTCCTTACCGGTACGTAGAGGATTTGGTAGGGAAAACTTGGAAATAGCTTGTGATAGAACTGAGCTAATTGGTTTCTAATACTTATTACCATATTAATATTAAAATGTATGATTCTATGACGACGTAAACAAGGTGGCGATGTAGGAGAGAAAAAGAATGAAACCAGGCTACGCCTAGCTGACCTGTCCTTGAAGTTTTCAAGTAGCACGATCCTTGCTACCTCAAAATTTCATATGAAGGTTGTATTTCAACTTTAATTATAAACAGTTATCTACCTAAATTATATTGTAAGCCTCTTGCCTAGCAAACTACGTGTTTGAGCTCGATAGAATGGTGAAATAGAGGAAATAATCTCTGGTATTGGACAGGTGATGATATGGGCCATTGAACTTCTTAAATCTGGCATAGGATAGGGAGAGATGATTTCGTGTTGCTGTCCCTTGACAAGTTTTAGTTTTCCTCTTTAAAATAGTCCCCTTCCCCCTTAACCCCCTTTTTATGAGAAAATACTCTTAGATAATACTACTTCGTCTTTGCGTTTTATAATATAGTATGAAAATTTTTATTAGCAAGACGCTTTAAGAAGCCTAGGTCCTACGAAGATTCGTGCAAGAAGGCTGACGTTGCCGTATAATGCCTACAAATTCAACTTGTCTGCTTGGTTGTCTATCATTTCTAAAGGCCAACAAGCTTACAAGAGTACCTACCTCCTAAAGTAGTAGGGATATCTAGAACCACAAAATTACGTTCATTAGGTGACCCAGTATCAGAAATCTCCTCGATATACTCATTAGTTACTCGCTGAATTGTTTCTCTGATCATCTAGGAGAGTATGAAGAACACTAGGAGGAGTCCTAGTTTCCTGTATTTGGTGAGAGGTGACTAATGTATACTAATATTCCCTAAGAGCGGCCAATCTTTTTTCTCGGATCACTACCTTACCATGTAAGTTTATTAAACCCGAGACCAGAGAGACATCAATTAGTAATTTTAGTAAAGTATTCGTAGGGCTGAAAGCCGAGGTCCCTAAGGTTAGAAGTCTGGAAGTTTTATACTAGCCCCGTATTCCGTACATTAGGTATCTTATCGATAAAAGCTATAAGGTGTCTACCGTAGGTAACCGATAAGAGAATATTATCGATCAGAACAACAACAATTCAGCTTGTCCACCCAATTCTCGACTCTGGACCTACATTAGGTACCTACATCAATATTTTGCGAGCAGCCTTCCACCGATAAAACTAGATCATCCAACTCTACAACCTGCTCCCCTACCCCCTAGCCATCCCCTCCCGATAACAACCATGGGCTCCAACACCCACCGCGCCGACGAGCGGCGCTTCCTCGACGAGCGCGGCTCAAACGCCGCCCTCGCGCCCAACGGCCTCAATCCCGCCACCATCATGGAAAAAGCCGTGCGCGAGCGCATAGTCGATAGCTACTTCTGGAAAGAGCAATGCTTCGGCGTCAACGAAGCCGACATCATCGACCGCGTCGTCGACCACGTGTCCTTCATCGGCGGTACCTACGGCGGGAACCAGAAGCCGAGCCCCTTTCTATGCCTAGCCTTCAAACTACTACAATTGGCGCCCGACGATGCCGTTCTCGGAGAGTATTTACAGTACGGCGGGGACCGCTTTAAGTACCTGCGCGCTCTGGCTTGTTTCTACGTGCGGCTGACGCGACGCGCCGAGGCCGTGTATACGATTCTGGAGCCGTTCCTCGAGGACAAGCGGAAGTTACGGCGGAAGGGGCGCGCGGGCACGAGTTTGACGTATGTGGATCAGTTCGTCGACGACTTATTAACAAAGGACCGCGTCTGCGCTACGAGTTTGTGGCAGATGCCTAAGCGCGAGGTCCTCGAGGACTTGGAGTTACTGGAGCCGAGAACTAGCCCGCTTGGTGATATTGAGGATTTATTGGAGGACGAGGATGTGGATATGAACGGGGATACTAATGGAGACGCGAGGGCAGATAGTGATGAAGAGGGGTTAATCGAGGAGGGAGAGCAGCTTTCGGATAGGGGGCGTAGGAGATCGACTTCTGGGTCAAGCGGGAGAGGAGACTCGAGGTCCCGTGGTAGAGACCGATCGCGAAGTGGCATGGATGTTGATTCGAGTGGTGAATCTGGCAGGGATAACCGATGAGAGAATACGACTACGAGGAGTTACGCGATTTGCCCTAGAGACAGGGCCGTACAAATTACTGCGAAATTTCACGGTCACTTGGAATGCAAATTTGCTCTATATTCATAGTATGAGCAGATGGTAAGAGTTAGAAGAGATCTTGTTTCAAAGCCTATGGGGTATTATATCATATAAATCCTCTCTAACTCTATGCTCATCGGCACTCTCCAGGACTCCAAATCAGGGAGATGAGAGATATTATCCAGTCTCCAGCATTGGGCTGGTCGGAACTCAAAAGAGGGGTTGCTGCAATATACGGGGTGCTAGAACGTCGGCCACGGAGAGCAGTCGCGCATCATCCCAATACTGCCCAACGAGCTGCATGCCCCCGAAGTTTAGCAGTTTTTGCTCCTCCTTTGTTGGATCAACGGGGATATCCATGGGAATACTGATGGCGGGTAATCCTGCAAGACTAGCTGGAACCGTGAAAACATCGTTCATATAGGAATCCAGGGGCGTTTGCCTCATGACGTCCTCGAGTAAGGGTGGAGTCGTCGGCGCGGTGGGACACAGAAGAAAATCGACTTGGGCGGGGCCGAACTTGTTTTCTAGCTGTATTGTATCTTCCATTTCACTGAGGTCGAAAGGTTGTTGGTCCTCGAGCGGGTTTGATAGTTTGAAGATCCGATCGAAATCTCTTCTGACGAGCCGACGGACTTTCTGGGCTTGTATGAAATAGTTGTCTATAGCCTCTGAGCTGAGCGTGTATGACCCCAGCAGAATGCGACGCTTTACTTCGCTTCCAAAGCCGGTTTCTCTCGTTTTTGCATATAAGATGCCTTCGAAAGAGTCGCTAGCTTGTTTACTATTCCGTTGACCGTAGCGAATGCCATCGTACTTGGCAAGGTTAGATGCTGCCTCGGCTGGTGCTATCACGTAATAGGCAGAGAGTGCATTTTTCGTAGAGGGTAATGATACCGGAACGACACGGCCTCCTAATTCTTCGATCTTTTGGGCTGCCATCAACCAGCCTTGTCGTATGCGTGGGTCGAGCTCCTCAATGTTGTATTCTATCGGAATACCGAAGGTCAAGCCCTGTATTGTGCCATCTCGGGCTGGATTCCACGAGTCGTAGCCTCTTCGCTCTGCGGTGCATCTTTGGCGCACGTGAGAAGGCAGAGACGTTGGGTCATTAGGATCATGTTCTAGGTAGAGCTTTTGCTCTACGATGGCCGCGCCTATAGGGCCCACGGTTCTAGCAAGTAGTCCAACCGTATCTAGGGAGTTTGCGTAGGGCACGACGCCCCAACGGGACAACATGCCATACGACGGTTTGAACCCCACGGTGCCGGTATATGCGGCCGGCATGCGAACAGATCCTCCCGTGTCGGTGCCGAGAGCTAATTCGGCTTCTCCTTTCCTTATGGCGACAGCACTTCCTCCAGAGCTGCCTCCAGCTGAGTACTTTTCTAGGCCGCAAACATTGTGGATATCCTCAAATGCGGATGTCGTAGAGTGTGTGCCCATGCCAAATTCATCCATACCGGCTTTGGCCGTCACAGCTGCGCCTCTCTGCCTTAATTGTCTAACTATGGTGGCGTCGAAGGGAATCTTGTTCCCAGAAAGAATGTTGGACGCACATGTTGTCGAGAAACCTAGTGCAGAAATATTATCCTTGACTGCGAGGCGGACTGTCTGCCCGTTGCCTTCAATGGGTGGTTCGTTCCTAATCGAGGGGTCCGTATTTGCAGCGGCTTGCTGGAGGCAGCGGCGCTGTATAATGCCGGCTCTCCATTGCGAAGAGATCACCCTACGGGCGGCTCTGATTTGGGAATGCCTGACATATGTAGACATGTGGTCCCAGCGATATTCGGCATTCTAAGCTGGTGTTAGTTTATATCGTTTGGCGGGTTTGAATTGCGTTTCTTGTACGGTGTTTGTTATCGATAAGGCAGTATACAATGCGGGCAGACAGGCGGGTTACAGGTACCGAATCCGCTATCTTCAACGCTAAAGCAGTGGATCCGCATCTGTAGCTCTAGCTGTTACCAGTGACGCATCTTAAAGCTTGGCAGGTACCCGGACGGTCAACAGTCTCTTGACCTATCAGCTTGGGAGCTCTTCCGTCCCATGTAGGCTGCGTTCCTAGGCTGACAACTCACATGTACTACCACTAAACACATCCATCTTCATACATCAATATATGTACACGGGCACCTACATAAGCTAAGGTTGTCTTTTGCCTTTTACATATGTCTATATCATATCCCTGAGTCTTGACGGCTATGGGCATAAGTTGTATCACTAAATAATCAAAATGATCCCAAGGATTATCCTCGCCGCGTCCCTGGCGACAGTCGCTAGATCCTCTCAGCCTGGAGCTCCTGCGCCGGTCGCTGCTCCGATGAGAGATCTCGAATGGGGACAAATCAATTTCATCCATACTACAGATATACACGGCTGGCTTGGTGGTCATTTACAAGAGTGAGATACATACGTAAATATTAGTTGGCTGACTATTGCTAACATTGTTTACCGTCAGACCGCAATACTCAGCCGACTGGGGTGACTACATCTCATTTACGAGCCATATGAAAAAGAAGGCCGATGAGAAGGGCGTAGATTTACTAGTCATCGATACGGGTGATAGGATCGAAGGGAATGGCTTATACGATGCCTCCAGTCCGAAAGGCAAATACTCGTACGACATCTTCGGCGAGCAAACTGTCGATGTCCTCTGCACTGGGAACCATGAGCTATACCAAGAAGATTCGGTCGCACGAGAGCACAACACAACCGTTCCGAAATTCAAGCACTCCTACATTGCCTCTAACCTCGATTACATCGAGCCCGAGACCGGCAACCAGATCCCCCAGGCCCAGCGTTACATCAAGTTCACCACCAAGAACCTCGGCTACAATGTCGTCGCTTTGGGGTTCCTGTTCAACTTCGATCGTAATGCGAACAACAGCGTCGTGCAACCCGTCGAAGAGACTATGAAGGAGGAATGGTTCCAGAGCGCTATAAGAGAAAAGCCCGATCTATTCCTCGTTGTCGGCCACGTCGGTCTTCGCATGAAGGAATTCGAGCAGATCTTCAAGGTCATTAGAGACCAGAACTGGTACACTCCCATCGCATTCCTTGGTGGTCACGCACACGTACGGGATGCGAGGAAGTTTGATGACAAGGCATACGCACTCGCCAGCGGTCGATATTTCGAAACCATCGGATTCTTGTCTATCGACGGCATCAAGAAGAAGAGCGGAAGCGGACCTTCGACCGAAGCAGCAACCGTCACCTTCAAGAGGCGCTACATCGACAACAACCTGTTCGGTCTGCACTACCACACTGGCCTAAACGAAACCACCTTCCCCACCGAACACGGCCGCAACGTCTCCAGACTCATCGCTGAAGGTCGCAAAACCCTCAATCTCGACGACCCATTCGGTTGCGCACCGCAAGACCTCTGGATGAGCCGCTCCCCTTACCCCAGCGACTCCAGCATATTTAGCTGGCTCGAGACACAAGTCATCCCCGACACAATCATCAACGAAGAGAGGAAGGACGTCCCACGCCTGGCTATTTTGAACACGGGGGCTATTCGCTTCGACATCTTCAAGGGCGCGTTCACCAAGGATTCAACGTACCTTATCTCGCCCTTCATCAGCAGGTTCAACTACATCCCCGACGTGCCCTACGCCATCGCCAGCAAGGTCCTCGAGCTACTTAATAGCGGCGGCCAGGTATTCAGCGGCGCCCTCGACACCCGGTACCTAACGATCCCCGAGCAAGCGGCTCCGCACAGTCCGTTCTTCGAGATGGCGTCCGCAGCGGCCGACAACGAAAACAAACTCCCGTTATTCATAGAGGAAGACGCCCCGCAGAAACCGCTATCAGGTGTCAACCGCTTGTCTAAGCAGGATGAGGGCAAAGGCGAAGGCGATGACCCCGAGTTGGTAGGCGGCTACACAACGCGTGACGACCTAGGCGACGATGGCGACGACGCTGTACACTCGCCCATCAAGTTCTACGCCGTGCCCAACTGCATCCAATCCAAGATCTCGTTCCCCACCCCCGGCAACGACACAACACCCGCCCCGGACCCCGAAACCGTAGACCTGGTCTTCATCGACTACGTCCAGCCGTGGGTCATCACCGCGCTTAAATTCAGCGGCGGCGATTATAGCACCGGCGACGTCAAGGTGTACTCCAATAACACGCTTACGGACCTTATTGCGGGCTGGGTGAAGGAACATTGGAAGAAGAATTGTTAGAGTGATGTTAGAATGATATGATACGATACAATATGGTTTTGGTTTTCACTTTGGATTTCAGATTGCGTAGAAGGTACTTGCTACTTATTTACTTATTTAGCTAGACAGGGCTGGGTTTCGGTTCTGGGTTTGGATAGTTCGCTACATAGCTGCGACTTTTAACGGAAGTAAATACAATAAATGAATAATAAATATCAAAGGACTCAAGAACGAACCTGGATTGCTCGTATGGCAGAACACAAGTAGAGTAATTGGTTTAATCTACCCTAAATAGTAGTCTTACACGACAAGTACCTAGGTAGGTAATTCACTACTAAACAAGGTACTGTATAACGACCTTAAAGTCTACTCTAACGCTGGCCATGACATGATATTCCTCTAAAAACAAAAACCGCTTTTTGCAAAATCTAGTAATCCCCAAACCCAATAGCACATGACTCTAGAGGTATCTCACCACCATTACAATTCCTCCACCGTCCCGCAGCAGTCCATACAAGGCAACCAGCCTGAGGAAGGAAGTAGAGCTATGGCTGTTTAGTTGGTTAAGAAAAAATCATGATCAAACGCTGCGGATGACAAGCCAGAGAAGTATGGGCACAGTCACGATAAGCGTAGGGATGGCGAGGAGTCCAATCCTCTCGCTGAGGGACATGGCGAAGAACCATCTCCTGCAACCTCTCCTCTGCATTTCCAACCACGCCCGGGTGGATAGCCTACGGGGCGCTATTACTGCGCCCTGCTCGACATCAGGGAGCGCTGGTATACCACCTTGCTCGACATTAGGGGGCTGGTTTACATTAGGGGCCGGCGGCTGGTCTGCGGCACCTCCCTGTATCGGCAGGAGTTCTATCTAGGGCCCCGGCTGGTACACTGGCGGGAGGTCAGGCCCAGGTCGTGGTTGCAGTCCCGGCGGCTGGTTTGCGGTACCTCCCTGTATCGGCAGGAGTTCTATCTAGGGCCCCGGCTGGTACTCCGGCGGTGCCTCCAGCTGGTACGCCGGCGGTAGCTCAGGCCCAGGTCGTGGTTGCAGTCCCGGCACCATAGCAAGATCTAATTCCCGCTCGAAAGGAGTCATCTCATGGAAAACATGTGTCCAGTCCGCAGGTAGTACTCTGTTATCAGTTACGCCCTCGCTTTGCGGTTGCTGTTCAAGCGTAGATGTATCGGTACCAGTTGAGGATTCTTCCTCGTGCAAACTAGAGGTGTGAGCTTCGCCGCAGCGGTCGGCAGATGCCTCGTTAACTAAAGTCTCGGCAGACCCTAGTGAGGGGCCGTTGGGTGGTCGATGTTGATTATTCGTAACCGGATTTGGAGAGGATGCATAAGCCCCCAATGCAGGGTTAGTAGCGGATTCTCCAGTAGGACTAGAGACTCTAGTATGAACTGGGGTTCTCGTAGGACTTGTATCAACTGCGTCATTAAGGGATGCCGGAGGTGATGACGCTTCCGTAACGACCACATTCGGTGTCGATACATGTCCATTCACCGTGCCCAAATGATTGGGGACGCTCAAGGCAAGGCATGCAACAGGAATGTTTCCCTTTCCGTTATTGTTACTGCCTTGACGAACGGCGGTGGGGTTTTCAGTCATAGAACGTGTGGTTTCGATATCAGACCATCGGATATGACCACTAGGTGCTTGAGTAGAAATACCAACACTTTCTCCCACGCCCTCTCCAACAGCTAAAACAGTACCGCTAGTGCGGCCATTTATATTAGCTTGAATACCATCAATAGACACATTGGGGTCACTGATGATATAGGTGCCATTGCTATTGGATGGGGTGGTCTGAGTCGCAGCGTCAGTGGTGGTGATAAAGAGTGCATAAGCTTTACGAATAACCGTCTTCATCAATTCGTAGAACGAGATATCCCTTGATTGCCCGCGCGCATTATTTATCCACCGACCCAGACTGTTTACAGGCCTATTATCTTCCGCATGAATAGTATATATTGACGCTCCGTCGGTAAACACGACCGTCTCTACAGACGAAAGCGAGTCTGATCTATCACTGCCGTGGCGCGATTCACTGTTAGCTTAGGGGACGACTACGATGACTTTGGGGACGGGACAGGACGAACAGCGAGGGTGAGGGCGAATCGATAAATTCAAAGCGGTTTCGCCGTTCGCTGTATCGGTATGGAGATGCCTCTGGCCCATGATATTCGCTTGGTTCGTGTTCTCTTGCATACTTGCTCAAAAATCCCATCACCCCAAGGGGAATTTGTCCAGCTAGCAGCTTACGAAGTTGTGACCAAACCAGCGCTGGGCTTAGTGGGTGTCGTGTAGTAGTCGATTGACCCCAGAGTTGTTCATGATGCCAATTCTGCTGCTCAACCGTAGCTGAAGTTCCGACCCCTGAGATCATATTTTGACGGTTGCGAAGATGCCGAGCCCATCGCTCTTCCATAGATAGACCATTGAAAGCATTGTGGGGAGGGGGTGGAGGAGTGGGTGGCGGCGAGAAAGACATCGTGCGTCCAATTTGCCCTCGAGTACGCTAATGGCTATGCTATTTTACTTGCGATATAATACCTTGACTGATTGGGTGTATAAAAGGGTATTTGATATATTAACGAATGAAATGCTGGAAGCCGTAACGAAAGACCCAAGAAAGATGCCAAAATGTGGTTGAGGATGCTCTCACCGATGCCTCTTCAATCTGAAGAGGGAGAAGTTGTTCGAACAAATATAGCAAGAAGAAATGGGTAAGAGGTGCCTAGGTAGGTACCTAACCTATTGGATCTGGTCGAGCAGCTTTCGCCTTCTCCTTTCTATGAGCTCTTGTTGCACCTCCTCTAGCGTGGGCAACTCCCACCCTTTACCATCTCCCACATCACCAGGTAGCGGCTCCCATCCTGGAGGAGGTTCTGCCTTCCCTCGCTTCAATAGCTCCTCAAACGCCTCACGTTCCTTCTCGGCCTCATATTCGAGTAATGCATCGTCTTCCTCGTCGGGTGCATACCCGTAATATTTGGCGTCGACTGCTTTCCTTAGATCCTCGCGAGACTCTAATGGTTTCTCCGAGTCTTGTAACTTCTTCTGCGCAGCAGCCTCGAGCAGTTCTTTCACACCAGGTAATTCCTTCGCTCGCCCGAAATACCTATACCCTTTGCCCCCCCCCGGTATCTCCCTACCCATTTCATCGTAGACTTTGCCGCCGCCACGCATATAATTAGGGCCTCCTAAGTTCCGTATTTGTACCTCCCACATGTGTTTCTCTCGCATGAGCTTATTTATTTCGTCGTTGAGATCTCGGATCTGGTAGTCGCTAAGAGATGTCTCCTGGATTCGGGACATTTTCCGGCTGATTTCCTTGAGTGTTTGGCCTCTCCATTTCTCGCACGCGGGAATCGAATCTACTTCTGTAATCACCTTGGGTCGCCGTGCTCGTCCCGCATCGATGATACCTAAATCCGCAGCTTGCGCCTCGCGGAAGCGAAAGAGCATCGACTGGGCTTTCTCTGAATTACGCGCCTGTTTAAGGGTTAAATTCTGGACTTCATCAACGAGTAAGATATACAAAATCGCGTTTACTTACCATTTTGACTATTATATCCTATGCAATTAGATCTTGGTATAGTCGGCCTGTAGAAAAATTGCTGGCTGCTGAGAAAAGGTTGGATATACTGATGTATTTATTGGGCACAGATGACGGGAGTACAGTGAAATTTCTCAGCCTCGTTTCCATTGAGGCTGAGGATCCACAACTAAGTGGGGATATCACAGCTAGTGCTAGTCCGATTAGCCAATCATAGGGCTATAAAACGCGACGCGACCTTTAACAGCTCGGACAGTGCACTCTTTCTATTAATTAAAAGTACCTAGGTATCACTGCGTATATGTATCTTTTCGCTTTCAGCGTGAACGCTCTTACTTTTAACCATTTCATCTTTTTCCTGATTGACATAAAAATATTCTTATTTCTGTCGCCTGAATCTATCGCTACATCCAAGTTGTTGATGGATATAGTTGCATTATCGGATCTTTAACTATTATCTTACTAAGGCAATCATTTACATGCAGACTTAGAACAGCCTCTCGCAAGTTGAGCGTGCAGATGGTCAGCCGTACTTCATAACGGCAATCCAGTCTCGCACATTTCATATTTACCACTTCATCGATCTCATATTTGATATTTTCGCCATTTTCTCTTTCGAAAGCGCGTGGTTTTCTCAGTCCTCTTAATGACTTGATTCTTCTACGAAGTTTACAGGTCGACTTAAGCGGACAAGTGTCCAGCTTCGACCTACAAACAATTCCCAACGATATCTTTACATGAATTTAGTTCATAGCCTAGCAGTGAAGAAACTCGTCACGAAGACTGTTGGAGCCGTAGGACCTTCTCTTAGGCCTACGGCGAATGACAATACTCAAGAACAGAAATCTGAGCTAGGAGATACACGCCTTTAGCACGGCATCGGCTTCCCATCTCTAGGACCACTCGGTATTTTCAGACATTCAAGCGCGGGGGCAATGACGACAAATAGCACATGGTGAGAATGACGTACATTCGATGAAGTCCCTCATAGTTTTCAATCGGAGCCTTGCTGGGTGTCTGCAGGACTGCTTAATCTGACGATGATGGGTTAGTCTATGATCGTCGATGTTAATAGGTTCTCCTTTTTCTTTTTCTTAGCTGCAATTAGCAGCGATACAACTTAAGAATGCCCGGTGATGACCAATTCCAAAAAGCCAAATTTGCAGGCAGCCTGAACAAACCCTGCTTTCGTCATCGTGCGGAAACAGGGCGAGGGAATGGTTGTCTATGAGAACTTGAGAGCTAATCTGAGGGTATATATATGTTGAACACTATCATTTCACCGCGCGTCTCAGCATACTCGATTATTCCAATATATTCCAAACGCTGAAACTAGGAAGTCCTAGTTACCCATGGGAGGAGACGGTGGTGTTGAGCACAGGATATAGGCGAAGGATCGTTGTTGGGAATTAACAAGAAAAAGGATATGGAATAACTACCAGAAGGCCCATTTCTCTCCAACCTTGATATCCGCTACGAGGCAAAGTACCTAAGTAGGGGAGCACGCCTAACAAAGTGTATACTAGCGGATATTTCTCCAAGTTTTCTCTATGATCATCGTTGATTATTATTCCGGACCACTCATCCGTTAACCCCCGGCAGAGGTTGCTAGATGTTTAACTTAATACATGACGCTTTTACCATAGAGTTGGCCTACCACGTTAACGCCCACCTCGGTATACGATTTACCTCCTCTTGTGCAGACGAATAAACTGCCCCATGAAGACTTCGATCCATCTGTCTGGTTTCTGCATTTCTTTTACTTTCACTCTGCCTCGACCTGTTCGGTCTGCTGTACCATGTCATACCCCTAGTATAAGGGACCCAGTGCTAGGTATCTATGACGACGAATAGGGCACACCCAGAAACGGTACTCCGGGGGGCTATATAAGAAGTCTTCTCCATTCCTGCCGGTGGGACTAAAGATTCTTAGTATGGCCGTGTTAGCAATGTTGGTTCTAAGAAGTCTTGAGAAATTGGAGGCTTCACGCAAGGCTGGACAATCCATAGGGGCAATAGATTGACTATTCGGACTTTGCCCGAGATAACGCGTCGGGCAGAGCCATCCTTCGTGGTTGTAGCCCCCACGTACCGGGTCCTCGGCGCCAGGTTCAACTACTACGCAAGCTTCTGCGGATCGACCGGTTACTATGCAGTCCCAACAGGTATAGATGAGGGTATACGACCAGCACATTGTCTCGTTTGTTCGGCTCTCGTTGGCCTAGTCCAAAGATGATGGTTATTACAGTTGAAGGGAGCAAAATGGATGGCTGCTTGGTCGAGGAGTTGGTTTATAAATTGCCGATTATTGATGCTTAGGGCTGTGCCACTATGTGACTTTGCAGGTCGGCTAAGGTGAATTGTCATGGTATGACTTGGGACTGCCAAGGGTACAATATTAATATACTTATGATTCAAGTAACGGTCCCATCTTACGGTCTAGTAACTACATTAATAGGCACTATTCAGATATCATGTCCAAAAGAGATGAGGAAGGTGTTGTCTCTTTCCTCACCTCACAATGAATATATGATAGCCAATGTAAGTTGTAGCCTTGACTCTCCCATATTGCCTGTACCGTAACTATTTACTTGCCTACTACGAGTTAGATTTGGTCATTACAAAAAGCAAACCAGATAGTGCCATATCCCTGGATAGTGACATCGGCAATGATGCCAGCTAATAGAACTGGTGACACAGGATTACCTCTGTAGCGCTGTGTCTACGTCAAGACACGGCTTGGGGAAGATAAATAATCCAATGGGTTTATAATACCCAGACAATAGGTGATTCATATTATGTATGTATATGACAGCTTGAAATTAACTATCTGGTAGTTCATATGATAATGAATTCGATACCGTCTTCTGGATTATATTGCTTACCTTTGATACTCGCCATATATCTCACCAGTAAAGTTCCATATACGTTGGAAAATCAATATTGTATATCTTTCATGAATGAATTTTTATTAGCCGTTCATTACTGACAGCTTCTGACTAGCTAGATCAACCCATCCTCTCTCAGACGAAGAGGAGTCGCTCTATATGAGAACCCCTTTTATTGTGTCATGGTCATACATCCACCATCTCCCTCCTCATAACTCCTCCACGCCCCTGGGTAATCATATGGCCCAAAGCGCCATCACATATCGTTCCGTGCCACTCATTCCACAAGTACATAATTACATATGTAGTCAGTCACAAGCCCCGTAATCACATCAATTGGTTTCATTCGTATCTGCCTTAGTGCCTATATATTTAAGACACTTACATCCCATCACATCGTAACATTTACTGCCTCTTCTTCTCCGAGGTAGCCGCAGGTTTGCTATACAGCCAGAGAGCGCAGAAGCCCAGCCATCCAGTAACAGTGACACCGATACCCGCGATCCAGGGCCAGGCGCCGCTGATGACGTAACTGCGGGGCCACTCATCGTGAGCAAAGTGCCGGACCGAGACCGTGTTCTTCTCCTCGACGTTGCTATAGAACGGGCGCTTGTAGTTGACCATGAAGTTGAAGATGCCGTGCTGGTCCGGCAGCTTGAATGATACTGAATATGTTGTGCTGTCCTCGGATGAGATAGTGGGGTTTAGCTGGAGACGGTGGAAGGGGGACAGCATGCTGAATTCCAGCTGCAGGTCGTCGTTATCCGGGACGGTGAAGGGGGTGTATTTGTCCCAGGAGTACTCGGAGAGGGAGATAGAGTATGTCTTGTTAATGTTAGTAAGGGGAAGCCACCTTGGAGGTCTAGAAGGAAACGTACCACGTCGTTCTTAATACGGTAGATTTTAGGGTTGCTGGCGTTGCTCTGGCCAACCTCGTTCAGGTGGTGCTCAATCCAGTTCACTCTCAGGACGCCAATCTCCTTGAAGGTCCAGCCCGCTACTCGCTTAGCGAATTCGCGGTTAACAGTGCTGACCTCCTTCTCCTCGCCCACCTTCTTCACCTTAGCATCGAACCACTTGTCGCTCAACATCTCGGCGGAACCAATGACTGTGAACCGAGCCGAGTTGCGAGCTTGGAAGGTGCTCACAAGGGAGAGCTGGGAGCCGCTTGCGAAGAGCTCGTCGATGACTTCGGCTTGCTCTTTCGGATTGTAACTGTAAGATGTGGAGGGAGCGCGCAGGATCGGCGTAAGGAGGGCACCTGAGCCGAGGGTCTGGGCTGTGCCTCTTGGGAAGGCGATAACCCCTCCGTCTGCAGAGACTGGGCTGAAGAAATCCTTAATATCTGGACGAAGAGGTCCCGTGGGCGGAAGCAAGAGCACGTCGTGCTTCTCTGGGGCAGACAACACATCGTAGTTGAAATGGTCGACAACGAGACCCTGTCGATCGGAAGGTAGGTGAATATCTAATTCGAGAAGTAGAGAGACGATGGATGTCGGGGCTGGTTGAGAAGCTGAGAGAGCTAGGAGGATGTTGCCATTTGCATTGATGAAATCGAGGAGGATCTTAGGTGTTAAGTTTGGGCCGAGTCCTTTCGCTCTGTCAGTCATATTACTTAAAACTCCATAGCGTGGTTGCTATGCGACAAGTATACCTTTTGACTTGGTTGGGAGGAATAGAACATGGTCGTAAGACCTCTCGCCCAGGTGGAATAAGCTTAGACCTTCGCTCTTGGGAGTTTCGTAGTTGATCTGAAATCCTCGACCTGTTATAATATTGTGTTAGTATGAACGATGCGATGAAGTATTCGTTTTAGGTATTAGCTTTGCTCACCCTCTAAATCACCTAGGAACGTAGAGTAGCCCTCCTTCTCAGCAACATCCTCGAGGAGGACCAGCAACCTATTCCCGCTAGAGCTGATCGCATGGGCGAGGGCGACAAAGAAGAGGACGACGAAGGATATTAACGACTTCATCTCGGCGGTATCTCAGTGATCAATTGGCTTCAAGGAGAACAGGAGAGGAAGAAAAGGAGTGCGACAGCAGAAATATCGCCGCGCATGGGACCTATATCCGTTAAATGTCTGGTTTTACGTTTAGAAGTTTTGGATCGGACCAGCTGTCTCCAAATCTTTGTACTTCGCTGCTGCCGGGATTTTTGGAGGTCTGGTATACGTAGCCCGTACCTGCCAAGCTCCAAACATAGTGTACCTACCTAAACATGGGTGCACGATTACGTCGTCCTATGTCGTCCTATCAGTGCACTCCATAGCACCGGCAGAGCACACTCCGATTTTCCGAGTCACGTCTTTATTAAATCTAGTAGGTACCGATGTATATGTACATATGTACCTCATAGGTAAGCGTCTAAGGTAATGTTCTTATTGCTCTTGCCCAGGTTCGCGTTATTGGCAATTCCCAAAATCCTAACAATCAACTTCACTTCGTGACTAAATTTCTATTCTAAAAATAATATGTAGAAGTGTAGATACGTTTTCTTAAAATGGAGGCCGGCCCCTCCCGCAAACGCTTACGGCGGAGTACACGAAGTTGCTATCAATGTACGCATAACCGCCTTTGAATTATATCTGACCCTCATAATAATAAGTTGACATATCATACCAGGTAGAAAGCGTAAAGTAAAGTGTCAGCTCATTGATGAGAAGGTTGACAAATGTGCCGAATGCGTCAAGAGCGGGACGCAGTGTACTATTCAACCGCCTGAGGCAGAGTTGAGCAGCGAAGGCTCTCCTATTTACGTTGATAAGGAGGGACAAGAAGCAAGACTAGAACGCATCGAATCTCTCTTGAAAAGTTTGGTCGAGGCGCAAGAACAATCTCGGCCAGCTGAATCTTCATTCGAATGCGAATCTATAGTTCCAGCCTCTCTTTGGAACGATTTTGTAAGTTCTATCTGGCACTTTCAGTTGAAAGACCAAATCCTTAGACAATATTAGTTGCTTCAATCAACGACCGACGGAACTTTCCCTCTCGTCAACGACAATAGCCATCCTATCCATCAGTCAGAAAACACGTCAGATGAGAAACAGCTACTTGTAGCCCTTCTACCATCTGCACAGGATGCAGTTACTATAGCTACAAACAGTACTGCTTGGCTGTGGGGAGCAGAAACGCCCCTCGGGAGTGTGCTCAGACCAAACGATACACTTCAGCTCTTAGACATAGCTGCTATTTCGAGCGGTAGCGCTATGCATGTTGCTAAAATATTGCTCTTATTCGCACTATATATGCAACAACTCCCGTCACGTTTCGACGTGCAGTTCTTAGGATCCGAAAATATCGAAAAGACTATTGGATTGATTACAGACCGGGTCAAGCTATTCGTCGTATCTCACGAAGACGAAGCTTCTTCGTTGGACGGTATAGAATGTCTCACTCTACTAAGCTCAATTTATCTTAACGATGGCGCAATTCGAAAAGCGTGGATGATCTTTAGAAGAGTTCTCGATATTGCCAGATTAAAGGGGTTTCAAAATAGCTTCTCCCTTTCTGCTCGCAGCTCATCTTGTAGCGATATAGCCCTTCGACGGCGCCTATGGCTCTCGACCGTCTGCGGCGATTGCTACTGCAGTCTTCTCCTCGGGCTTGAGCCTGGACTTGGTATTGCACCCTTTGGTCCTGACGACGATACCTGGGTAGATCCGCTTGCTGATGAAGACGCTAATGTCCAACGCCGTATTTGCCTAATTGTGTCGCGTATTGCGCAGAGGAATGCCGTTGGTCTTGGTGGAGACCGTAGTATCCTTCGGGAAATAGACGAGGCACTGAACAGATTACAAGACTCGATGCCTGCTTCTTGGTGGAGAGCCCCGTCGTTCCGTCAAGATCGATCTCTTGACTCAGCCAAGGAGCCAAACCGCCTTATATGTCAGCTGTGGTTTTATCAAGCGCGAATATTTGCGCACTTACCCATCGCGTTTGGAAAAGCTATAAATGACTCACTGGATAGCCTCGAAAGCTGTATAGAGGCATCTAGGTTTACAATTCATCGATACCTTGGATTGCAGCACGTCAAAGATCAATTGTCTCGTTGTAGAACCGTCGAGCAGTCTGCCTTTTTTGCCGCCGTGGTTCTTCTCCTCGCTAAAGTACAGCTCCAATATCTTGAAAAGCGTTCGACAACTTCTAGATACGATTCAGATCGGGCTCTGATTGAGCAAGTCATTGGCTCTTTCGAAGTCTCTGGAGAAACGAGAAGTAGAGAGTACGTAGCAAGGCAAAGCTACGAGATCCTCTCCACCATGCTAGATATCATTACTAGCTCAGAGAATACCTTCTTCATGACGAGTCACTCCGGTCCCAACACTCCCTCGACACTTGGATCGTCTTTCGATCCTAACATCGTTGGGAATACTGAGGATACTTCCAATGCGACTAAGTCTGGAATGGAAGATATAATTGCGTCTTCGATCCAACCAGCGCTTGACGTAGAAAGCCCAGCTTCGCACCTAATGAAACTATTATTTACAAAGTCTGACATGGCAAAACCCCCTCAACAATCACCACATGTAGCGCTTACCGTTGGTGGTTTAATAGATCCGACTATCCTTCAATGAGACACTTCATAGAAATTACAGCATTGACAGTCATTTTTCCATAGAGCAGGTAAACTTACTCTTTGTTTATGGCGCCATCATAAAGGTATAAGACTAAAGATACAACAAGCATACAGGCCTTTAAATGCCATCTACATCTATTAATGTGTGGTGTTATTTTTCCGCAATTCCAAAACTTCTAATAACTCCCTCCCTTTTCTCGCTATACGCATATTTTCAATGCTGGAGTCTTCCCCCTGACCATCGATAGCAAGATACGTCATAAATGCAGCCAACACTTCAACTCGGACACTCAAATTCTCGCCTAACACCGCAGCTATCACGCCAGGAACCATCATTCCTTTAGTTACAACTGCGCCTGGCCTAACCATGAAAGTTTTCCATATGGTAGTGTGGTTCTCTGCGAATGCGAGGGTTTTAGTCTCGAGCCGGCCCTAAAAAAGTCAGACATGGAAAAGGCTTGATAGGTTGGACTATGCATACTTTCATTTTGCGCGCTTCTTCCAGGAAGCATAATTGCTCTTCTTGGTTCTGACGGACGAATTTACCGCTTAGATGGACGTATTTAAAAGGGGGTCTATCGGGTTTCGTTTCCAGCATTCGTCCCATGCTTTCTACGAAGGCCAGGGGATACTCCAAGTCAGGGAGTATGTTCCCAGTATTGGTTCCCATGTTCCTGTATGAATCGTATAAGTAAATAACTCCTGCGTTCTCACTCTTTACGCCAAACTTACCAAAGCATACCTACAGCATCCGAGTGCGCCTGTAATATGTCTTCTGGCCATTTCGAGAAGTCTTTGATTATAACAGATTCAAGCTTTGGATGGCTTGATACGTCGGCAGGTAGATCCCGACGTACGAATGCGATCACGCTTGAGATGTCTGGGTGAGCGAGGCAGTGAAGGAGGACTTCACCTCCAATGGACCCGCTCGCGCCGACAATGAGGATCTTCATAATAGCGAAATGGCTAAAGTTGATAATGGAGAGTAGGGAAACTAGAAGGTGGAAGTATGTGTCTGAATAGTGAGACTTGGAGATTTACGAATACATATTGCGAGGATATATATGATGATAGCTGTCGCCCGAGTCGCCCGAGTCGGCCGAGAAGGATGAGACCATCGTCATTTACCAACACTGGAGCTAGCGAAACTTGAAAATGAACTAGAATGACTTGCTATGGTTTTATAATAGAAAACAACAATAGGCTGCTCTCGATTCGTCTTATTACGACATTCAGTAGGTTATGTTGGCTGTACATCGAATCGAGTTGGACACTACATGTACTTAAACATCTTATTTACGAAGTATAGGTATACGGCTTTAGATCGTTAGGGATTTATATGACGATAACACTAATTTATGATACAAAAGTTGAAGTTAAAATGAATTAAGAGATTTATATTTTAGAAATATTTAATAATGGCAATAAATACTGAGATTTATGATGCTACCTGTGTAGACAGTCTTATACTTGAATGTACGAAGTACGTCTGTACATGTATCTGACTTAAAGAGGTACTTAAATACTTACATATGCACAGACCACCCGTATCATCCCGCAGGTCCAATTGCATCGGAGCTCACAACCTCACGTACCTAAGGTAACCTTCAAAACCAGCATCGCCGGCCACTCTCAAGATCCTCCGTCCCTCTTCACCCGAAACTAGAGGTCAATTGAACCACCACCCACACCACGTACGTTCACCTGCCCACCTACCCACCAAATACCTCCCACTCCCAATTCCCAACTCCACTGCCGATATAATATACCCTTCAAACCCTCTCCCTCGCTAACACTAGTTACCACTAGACCAAAAGAACCATGTCGGCCTCAACACCAGCCTTCTTCGCCAGCCCCCTCCGGTACTGCCGCTGGGCCGCCCGCGAGCGCCCCGCATACTTCTGGTCCGTCGTCATCGGCGCCACCGGCCCCCTAATGCTAGCCACCGTCCCGCCCGCCATGAGGCGCCTGGGTTACGAGCGCACCCCGCCGATTCCGTTGACGTATCCTGGTACGTACTACCTGCCACTCACTCGAATACCTTAGGTACCTACCTATGAGAACAGAGATGGAGAAGGGTAGAAGGGGAAGGGGGGGGGGGGGGGGGGTATAGATATCGAAGAAGAAAAAAATGCTAACGAACACTTCGTAGTTCCTACCGGCCCGCGAAAGACGTTAACCGGCTACGACGACTGAGCGCTATACGTATCAAGTATCTCTGGAACATACCTAGGAATAGGGCATAGGAGCAGGACCGTGGATCGATAGGCGGATCTACATGTATATATCAAAATTAAAACCACTCCAAGCGCCTCAAGTCGTCAGACCTCGGAGCAAAGTATGAAGACGGGGCTAGGCGGAATACCCTCAAGGGGAACGTATCAAATGCTACCGCATGCAAGAAGAGTGTCCCTTCAAGCCTCACTAGGATCAATCAAGTCAAAAACTATCATCCAGTTCAATTCATTTCATTTTCGCACCACCAGCGCCATGTAGTCATCTATTCGTTAACTCATTGGTTATCTGTGTCTAACACCCGTCTGATCTAAGCGAGCTATCCATATCATCTATCCTGGAGTCCGGGCTAACTAACAGAACGACCCTCCGCGCGCCGTATATCAAGAGTGCTAAAATCTCAAGCAAACGCCCGTCTATGCACCAATGCTTTGCGACCGCATCTTCCAGCGCACCACGGATGACCGTTTTCTTTGGGTCAGACTCTATCTTTCCCTTTGGATGAGATTCCATTCGTACTAGGTCATGTGTCAGCTCTGATTGTGTTTCTATGCGGGATATATATCGACTTACAACTCGTCCATCGTCGTCTCCAGTATACACCAGCTGCGGCATCGGGGTGATGCAAGTGATCGCCGCCTCCGTATTTGTCCCCGTCTCGCTGCGCGTATCTATGTGGTCCAGCCGTCTTACCAACTCCAACCCCCACTTGCCACCCTTGATGATCCGTTTCCAGATATTTACCCTGCCTCTCCTGTGTCCCGTAAAGATGAGGTAATTCTCTAGCCACTCGTTCCCTGACCCTTCGTAGAAGGAGCAAGAGTATACGTAGTCATCGGGCTCGGAACATACGTTCTGGTCGAGTATCAAGTCGCCATTGATCGTGTATAATGTCACGTTCGGACCTGAGCATAGCATTATTTCTCCAGATACGTCGTTGATGCGAGCACACTCGACAGCTCGAGCGCTCGACAGCTTTCGCACAAACTCGAGACGATTCATATCCCAGAGGAATGCGTGTCCGTCTCCGGAAACCGTGACCAGCGTGCTAAAAGCCTTTGATACCGCAATCGTCGTGACCGGAGTCTTGTGCCCGAATAGTGAAGAACGATGCATGAGCTCCACGGGCTTACCTGTGGTGGTCTGCATAGTGAACACAGACACGACGCAATCCTCACCGGCAGTGATCAACGTCTTCGAATCGGCGACGACGATGCATGATATTTGGCCTGTGTGCAAGTTTTCGCTGACGCCCGCACTCTTCCGATTCTCAGTGTGATAGAAACGCACACTATTATCCGCAAATCCCCACTCGAGGTATTTGTCAAAGAAAGGGGGAAGATTGAGGCGGAAGGGGGACGAGCATAGGAGCCGATCTAGTTTGGGCGAATATACTAGGGAGGCAACCCGCTCGCGACTTTCGAGAAGCGGGTGAGGTATCCTGGCAAGAGAATGGCTGGCCGTATCCAGTCTCTTCACTGGAAATGAGACGTTCTCCCGCGGCGGATGGGGCTTGGTGAAGACTTGATGTGGTGTTTGTCCGAAATTGTGGATGATACTTGTTGTAGCATGTCGTTCGTTTGAGTCCGTAATGTTATCAAGATCTTTGGCACCGTAATACGAAAGATAATGGAACACGTTCAAGTTTTCTACAGCTGCTTCGCCACGTTGCTTATGACCGAATACCAGGTCGATCCACAGATGAAGGTTTTGGCTCACGTAAGGACTCTCTAATGCCTCACGATGTTTCGCAACGAATATCTTCGGATCACCTTTGGCCCATGGAGGTAACTCAACGTGGTTGACTCGGCCACCAGAACCTTGACGGTCGCCAAAGTTATATCCATTCACGTTCGTTAAAAAGTCTGGGAGGTAGAAGAACTCTGGTATTAGCTCTCGGACGTCGGATCCGTTATCCTGCGATGCGGATTTCCACGACCCTTCGATCGAGAAGAAAAGTCGATCTGCGTGGTCAAACGAGCCACCTTGAAGAAGGATGAAGGATTGCACAAACGGAGGCAAACGAATTAAATACGATGCAACAATCATGGCGGACGAGTAGTGCGTGCCGTAGTGAAAAGGCGTCTCGCCAATCTCAGCCAGGCTGGTGTATCTGGTCTGATAGTCAAGCTGACGTCGTGCGGTCTGCGCACCCATAGGCTTCGACAGATCTCGGAACGTGGCGGGATTGTTCAAGTCTAATTCTTCGCTCGTGTAGTCTGCTAGGACCCAGGGGAAAACCGGATATTGGGTTAAGTCATTAAATGTCCGGCCTGCCATTGTATTCACGAGCATTAGGTAATGGAAGTTAGATATTTCGCCTCGTTGCCATCGTCGCATAAGAGGATTCCAGGGGGAAGAGTTGAAGATGCTGCCGAATTTTGATCCAAACGATTGAGGGGACTCTTCGAAGACTTTGAGCGACTCTAGACGCCAGGCATCCTCTGGGTTGGGCAATGAGTTCGCTCCTGCGGTGTGCGGAGTTTTGTTAGCGAGCTTAGAAAATATCTCGTCTCTCATGGCCGGATTCATCGCAGTCAAAAGATAACTACGGCCGTCGGTAAAGAAGACTTCAATGGCCACATCTCGGAACAAGAACCGGCGCTTCGATATACTTATAACATCGTGCCACTTCCAACTGCGGGAGTCTTGAGAGGCGCGGCTTATGGCCTGACGGTTTTCGTTAGACTTCGCACCAGTTATAATCTGAGAGAAAGGGTCACGCTCTTCTACGGGTGCTTCCCAAACGTTTACTATCTCTCCATCCGCACACTGGAAGAAACTGTCCATCAAATAAAGGGCGTTCTTTCCAACTAAAAGAATACCCTCAAATGCTTCAAGACCAATGACACGGGAGACATTGTAAACTTGTTGAACCGTGTCGCCCTGTTGCAGACGTCTCATCACTCTCCTATTCTTGTCTTCGAACCCGTCATCAGCATCGTTAGGATCGTTCGGGTCGTCAATCATCTCGAAGTCATCCTCGGGGATAGCTGTCTGCCCAGGTTTTGCTCCAGCCTGAGTACCAGCCGGGGCGTCATCAGCGTCATCTTCAGCGACCTCATCCTGGCTGCTTATCTGCCCTTGGGGTATGGATGGAGGTGCAGGCTTTCTTGACACAGGAGTCGCGGCAGGAGGATCAACCGACTCTCCTTTGGAAGTGGAAGTTGCCGGTTGATCTATCGTTTTACGTTTGGGTTGGTACTGGTCGTGGTCGGTAGAAAGGTCTGGTAGAAGCCGGAGGCGCATACGATTCCGGCCTTCTGTCCTATCAAGTTTCCACTTAATAGGCTTAGGATCGTATAATACAGCTCCTGGTCGGTTAAGGTCCTTTTGCATACGGGAAAACGAGGACGAAAAGAAAATGACATCATCCTGTTGGTCCTGCATAAGACGTTGATGCTTGAAATGCTCAGACGCGTAGATAGACTTCATCCAGGCGGAATTGGCCATGTCATGGCGTAGTAGGATATTTTCCCGTTCGACCATCTCCGAATGCCATCGTTTCAGAGTCTCTTTCCGTTTTGTCAATCGTGATTTAGCTGTCTCTGCCGTGCGCTGGTTTTCCGTATTGACGAATTCTTCCCAGGCCCGCGAGAGACCCCCCAGAAATAACGCATCGAGTGAAGGCCGATGTTCATCAACCCAGTCGATGAATGCGTCCGTATCAAGTTCGGTAAGTTTCTGGAAATCTGCTGCAAGCTGGGACTGGTCTGAGGCGGATGTCATGGATAATCGAAACAGCGACGTGCATTCGTTGGGTTTCTGTACAAGCATGATGCGCCAGAGATTGACAGCAGCAAGTCGTACGGCTCGCCTCGTATCCACTAACTTAGTATAGAGCTGATACCAGAAGAACTTCATATAGTCATCATCGGGCGATAAAGACTCCAATACAACCATTTGCCAGTAAAGTATCTTTTCCATTGAAAAATTTGCCTCCATCTCGGTGGTTTGTGGATCGTCCATTTCCGAGAGTCTAAGTAAGACTAGTTTAAGAAACGAGCCTCGAATAGTCGTCACTGCTTGACTGCATAGTCTTACGGTTTTCATTTTTGCGACGTCTGGCTTCTGGAGATATTCCAATAAGAGTCCCGCGAAGTTCAACATCGATTCGGTACCGTTCATAAACCACCCTTCGAATATTGCTTCAACCATGTGAAGACTGAACCTAGCCATGTTGGTGAGCACTTTCGGTTCGCTTAAAGCTTTCCAATTAAGCTTAATCGCTGTTGATATATGAACGATTGTGCTTTTCAATACGTAGGACTCGAAGTACGCTTGGTGCTCTTGGAATCCAGGGGGTACCTTAAGGAATAAGCCGAATCCCGGAAATTCCTTTCGTACTAATAGTTGGTCTACGAAGACGTTGATAACAAGCTCGAGGAGGCCCTCGACTAAGCCATGGCCGATGTTTTGATCGGCAACTTTCTTCTTCGGGGACATGACATGAACGAGGCGAGCTGGACTGGATTGGGTGGACTTCTGGGATGTGAGAAGTATGAAAGATGAGGCCTTCCGTAATTGACTTCCCCGATGAGTATGAGTTATTCTACTAGCAGGTAGCGACGTATCGGTCGCGCTAGACGTTCTAATTACGGGTGCAGCACTTGTTGTCCCACCGATCGGACGAATGATGACATCGCCGCCCTCGAAAGTGAGTGTTGAGTCTCTGGAGTTAAGTTCTGTCTCGGGATTTACCGGATCCGTGCTTACGATAGCCGGGTAGAGGGCAGACAGGAGCAGCCTCACGTAGTCCGAGGATAGTGCAAAATCTCGGAAATCTGCCGATCGAGTATGTAGGTCTGCCATGAACCGAATGACAGTCTGGAGTACCGCAGCGTTCCCGGCGTTACGTTCGGCTCGCGGTTCAATTGTTTCTTAAAGGGCACTTAGTTTACATCTACAGCAATGGAAAGACACTCACCTCGTGATTCCAGCTCCTTTTGAAGTGACATCGATCGTGCTCGTAGTCTTGTCCCCAAACTTTCATGCTTAGTTACGGCCATGTTTAAATCAGGTGGAGGCGAAGCTGGATCCTCCTGGGCTTTAAGAATATCTTTCAGTGCATGCTGGATCATGGCCGTGATGATTGACAACGCATCTGGATTGGCGATTTTGCATTTCCCAAACGTTTCTAATAAACTGAAAAAATCGAAATTCTTCTCGAAGTCTATTTCTGCGACGTCGTATCCAAAGAGGATGCTGAAGCAAATGGGCCAGAGAGTTGCAATATCCCACCACCGCTTAAGACGGTGAGCCATAATGCAGAAGCCCCCAGTCTTCCCCGAAAACTTGTTAATATAGGCCGTCCCATGGGTGACTAAAAGCCTAGCAAGTATCTTGCAGCCGTACGTTACGATTTCCGGGTCGTTTTCTGTGAGAAGATACAAAAGCCACTGGACCATCATCAGCTTGGAATTTTTTCGCAGTGGCCGTGCGTCAAGTACCTTGTTTGTCACTGTCTTAGCGAACTTCCGAATAATTGCTAAGTTCCCCTTTTCGCATAGCAATTGGCTATACATATCTAGGAGACGTATGCCGACCTCTCTCTTCGTGAGCAACCGTACGTCATTCCCGCCCGCTCCGTTTACATGGACCAGTGGTCGTAATGGAATATTATGAGAGGGTCGACGATTTGCTGTTTTTGGAGTACGCGGAAGAGATCTCGACGTGGGATGAAAAGCATAAGTAATGAATAGAGCGAGTGATTGATGGACCTCAGTGTTATAGTTGCATTTGACGAGGCTTTTGATAGCGCTTATGAAATAGGGGAGTACAGCCTCCAGCAGAGGCTCCGATTTAATGGCATCGAGGAGCCTTTTCACAATTCCTAAAGCACGATAATGTTAGTGTAAATTGGGGCGCTTACTTAGATCCCAAGTAACTCACGCATTCGAAGTAGCCTGCGGTTGTTGTATTGATGATACTTGCTCATCACGGCGAAACTCACGAACTGTTTATAATACAGCTCTTGAACGAGAGGTCCGCATTTTCTCCAACCATCAAAATCGACTAGGAGAATGCGATAGGCTAAGGGATTTATGATCACCGATTCAAGAGGATCTCGGTGTTTATAACCGACAAATTCCAGCACAAGGCTGAGGATCTGGACGCATAATTTGTCCTTTTCGATATTCGAAATCGCAAGCTTCTCAGTCAGCCCCTCGCTTCCAGGTCCGCTAAAACCGAGCTTGGCTTTTAATAGTATTCCTAAGATCGCATATCCCCCGTCCTTCTCCATAGCTTCGCTATTTCGCCAACTCGAATTGATACACAAGAAGACCATCTCAATAGCACGTACGAGCGTTTCGGCTGAAGAAGCCCGCTCGATTAACTTTAACGCAAGTGGCGTGAAGCCCGCCAGTTGCCAGAGGGCATCGTCAAAGAACTGGGGAGTTGCAACAATGGGATTTCCAGTTAATACTGCTACGCCATTCGAGCGAAGAAGCGCATCGTTAATCGAAGGCAACGCCGTGTTAATAGCTATACCCGTGCCATTTTTAAGTACCATTTGTACTAGAGTATGGGCAGGTCCGCGAGACAAAGAACGATATAGCTGTGACTCGCCAAAGTGTTCCTTTTCCCGAAAGATCGAAGAGGGCAGTACGCTGAGAACAATTTTATGCTCTGGGACCACATGGCTAGCTTTATCCCTAATAACTTTCATGATATCAGAGTCATCTTTCCCTGTACTAACAAGATCATTACGGAGGCCCAGGGCAGCGGATGCCGTGTAAGTTTGGAATCCGCCAAGGCAGTCCTGGAAGTTCCCCTGGTAATGAACTCCTAGCCGACTGGGAACCGATAGAAAATCATCACTCAATACGTCATCGAAAAGATGGGCTGTACCAAGAGACCATCTTGAATGTATTAATCCTGTACCCAGGTGAGAAGAAAGCTCACGCGGGGTCCCTAAAAATGCCTGGACTGGCATGACCTTGTTACTCGAAGAAGTAAACGATGCAAAACTCTCCGTGCTGCCGTTCGATAACGGCGGCTGAGCAGGATAAGAGGCTCGTATCTGCTCGACAAATTCACCATTCACATATAAGGAAGCCTTGCTAGGTGTCATTGTTTTAGGTCGTCGGTGGGCCACCACGATATGATACCATCTCCCTTGCTTGAACGTGAAGGTTCTAAACCTGACACTCGGCCGCTGTGAAGTAACTGAAGTTTGTAAAATGAAGTTATGGGTATCTTTTTCGAGATATGCGAGAACAAAACAGGTCTGGGTTGAGTCAAATGCTCCAAAAAGTGTGGTATGTGATTTCGGATCAAACTGATCGATCCGCACCCACGCAGCAAATGTATATCCAGCAGAAGACTGAGGGGGGAATGGACGCCCTAAACTTGGCAGTTCAATGGAAGAGTGCCCATTTTGGGACAAGTCGAATTGTATGTATGGAGGGCCACCATATTTATGCATTACCTCTAAGCAGAAATCTGATGAGTCTAGAGAGGGATTGAGTAGAAGTTCCTGTGCATCCACCAGCCGGTTCACACCGAAAGGCATCAGAGATCGACAAATAGATAGAACTGTCTCACGCTCGATATTGTTAAGAGGAGAATTTCCGTCGAAAGCAAATTTTAAGAATCGAGACAAAACGCCTGTCTCGTGAACTAGGCACAAGTTGATGTTGGAAACGTCTAAAATCGAGGATAAGACCTTAAGTACCAGCAAGGATGCTGTGTTTTCTGGGACTTGCTTATCGCGTGGTAGAGATTCCCAGAAGTCCACGATAGTACGAATGACCTCGGGGTTTTGTAGAGTTGACTTGGGGCCAACAGTCTTTTGGATCGCCGCCTCAATCGATGCCATATGGTCACCTAAGCGAGCAACATCGTGAACCTCGCTCCTTGTGCCATCTTCTCCAGTACCGAGCTCATCCGGCGCCACCAGCACCCAGGGCGCAGCATCATCTAACGTGGCAGAGCAACATAGTTGATCCAGCGCCGCATCATTTACAGCCAAGGAAAAGAGCTTCCCAAATAACTGGCAGCTTGTCCACAGATCTGAATCGCTACCTCCAAGGCCAATGCTCGCTATAATTTGCTCCAAAGCATCCCAGCCGCCACCCTCGACCCGCGTACGGAAATACCGTCGGTTACCAGGATGCGCACGGAAGGCGGCAGCGAGAGCACTAAATACAACATCGAGGAGCTTAAAGAAGCTTCTCTTCTCATCATCATCTCGTTTTTGGAGGTTATAGAAGCCGGAGAAGGACCGCAGTACGTCGAGTAGGTGGTGAAAGCCACGAAGATGTCTAAAGTCGTCTTGGATGGAGCTTGGTGGGGCAGTTGCGGATAGATATTGTTGAATTTGTCGTATCTGGGCTATTAAGGGCTCGAATTTCGGGTAGCCGTTGTTTAAAGAAGCGGATATGATAGAGGATACGGCATCGAGGAGAGACTGGAGGACTTCGGAAGCTTTGGATGTAGCTAGCGGTGTCGATGCGGAGGTGGACGATCGATAACGACCCGGGCGTGTGGACATGATAACGGTAACAGAACGACTAAAGTTTGGTGAGGGATGATGATTATTTGTTTCTTCATATTATAGAAACTGAACCTGCTACTGCTAGTACCCTATTGGGGTCTAGGCTGCCGTTTACGCCAGAGAGCATCGAAGAATTGGAGGGGAAGTTCTCGCGACGAGGTTTTGAATACGCAATGCGGCAGGTTTGACTTTGTGTAAGAATTTAGGTCTACTTGATCAGTTGTCGGCGTTGAGTAAAGGATCTGGGGTCGCTTTGATAAACCCCAAAGATCCGCGCCAGTGTGTTGAAGTTAATTTGTTCTATGAATTCAAAGCTCTACAGCTAAGTTCAACTGTAGTTAGAAGTCGCTAGGCTGTCAGACGTCTACTATGTACCTCATTCAGAAAGCAGGGAGCCTTAGAGGTACATGTAGCTTAGATACAAGGTACGTGAGGCAGTATGTGTGTCAATATGTGTGGCGCTCGTACAATTGAATGCTTGGCTGAATGCTTGGCATTAAACAGCTTGAATGCTGACATAATCATTTAGGTACAAAGGTACAAAGATACCTGCTAGTATTGAATGGGCACTGACGAAATAGGGGTAATGTCACGGTTTGAATTGAATGCACGAGTAGGGACAAATGAGGCAGCAAAGTTGAAAACACTTAAGCGTTAGTTTTTATATAAGTGACTATGATAAAAAGCTAAGATAGAGAAGTTACTTAGTAGGAGAGCCGATCCCCTAAGCGCTGAGCCTTGAAGTGGCACAATATCTACCTCCTCTCTGAATTGTAGGTTAATCATTGATATAAGCAACGATTTTTGTATTAATGTATTCTTACTTGAGTAGATCTAGAAGCCCAAAGAGCCAGTAATGAATTCCCAAGCTGCTTGGTAGTTTTTGTCTGCCGGCGTCATGATCCGCAATAGCCAGGCCGTATCCCGACCCCCTTCCCAAAAAGGCTCGCACCTCGATTCCGCTTTGAGCCATTCCCAATCGCTCGGGTACCATCCTGATTGGTGCCAGTCAATAATGGCGGCGACGCGAGGTGGAGATTCTCCATCCCTCGGAAAGATGAGTATGTTACTCTTATCTAGATCGCTATGCGTAAATACCACCGGTCTGTCATCCGTCAAGCCGGCCAACTCGGGAAAGTCACGCCGCGGATTCCAGTCCGGGTGCTGGCGGCAAGAGTAACGCGCAAAGAAATCATGAAATTGCGTTATGCCTTCGAACGGGCCGGCCTGCGGGTCACCTGCATCACTGAAGATAATGTCGCCTACTCCTTGACGTCCGATATGGCCTTAAGCTGTCAGTATCCTAGATTATTTACGATATATCCATGAGCTTACCGACATAGTATGGTTCCGTCTCCTGACGGAGACTGCGCCATGCCTCCACGGACGTATGGAGCTGATCGCAAATTATGTTTTGATCTTCTTGATTAAGTGATGGCCACACGTCTTCTAGTGTGTCGGCATTGACAAACTCCATATAGATGAATGTCTCGCCGTCATCATGGCACCACCCGTACAATTCCGGCGTAGGCACTGCATCTTTCATGTATTTGTTGAAATACCACAGGCACTGTGCTTCGGCTATTGTGATCTCCGAGCCATATTTGACGACAAGTCCCAGTTCTTCGAACAGGATCGGTGGAGGCCTTGGTGATCGTGCGCGAAAGCTATTGATTTCGATATCCTTTTCTCGAATCTCCTTCGGCGACGGAAGGTCATGCCCATTTTTCTTAAAAAATAAAGAATCGCGAAATACCATATTTTCTGCGCTGGGTAGTTCTGCCACGTGTATTGTCCTGGGCGCTGCAGTCATGTTTGAGGAGCTGAGTAGCAGGTATCCAGAATCAACCATTACCGCTCATCCCTCCCGTGTTTTGCAAGAGCGCATCAGCCTGATGTTAATCTTGACTACCAGTAGTATGGAATCATGCCTACGATGCTTTTTACACTTGTATGATGGAATGGATACCCGCTAACAGATGAAACTTATGTTGGTGAATACATAGTAACTGTGCTCATGGATACGCGCGCATCGACAATTCATGACTTGCCTAAAAGGCATTAGCCACATCACTTCGCCACAAACACTCACACTACCTACCTAACAAAGCAAGGGATCAATGGAGATACATCGACAAGGCTACGCGTAAAAACCAACAAAATTAGGTGCGATAGGTAGTTAGGTAAAATCTAATTAGTGCTATGTATGTTGGACGCTGTAATTTGGTGGCTGACCGTAGCGGCTAACATCATGATGTAAAGGCGTATCTAGCCAACACCACAGCAGTAGAATGGCAAAAGCTTCCATCGGCCAAGTTATAAAAGAGAAATAATAGCCACGGCGCTAAACAATCGTAAATCTATTTGAGTGACGAATCCCATGAAGCCGGTTCGGGTCTGTCATAAAACGGCCTTAGGACCGGGCTCATGGGAGCTTATATCCTGGCTAACACGAAGCCTCTTGGATGACAGTCCTCCCAGAGTATCTGATCTTGTTTTATTATTAGAATAAAACCAACATCTTCTTGAATCAACCAATCGAAATGGCAGCGTCTCGCTGTCATCGCCAGACATTCCCAACACCTTGTTTAGAGCGAAGGTCTGCCTTTTGGATTTCAAAGCATTGTAACCAACAACGATGGTACTATAGCTCGATGACGGATACTTAAGTAGCTCTTCGAATATCTCTTTAGGTGTTAAGGAACCAGTCTGATCTCATACTCAATTCATCTTATCAACGCCGCTTTTAAAATATATACATATTTATTTTCGCTTGTGTCATAAATCTTCCACCAATCCACCAAATTCGCCTTTCTTTCTCTTGCCATGGGTCTTTTCAGTAAGAAAGGAGGAGAGAAGGCAAATGCATCTGAGGGGTCTTCAGGGAAAGCGGTTATCCAGCAGACTCAATCTACGGTGCCGGCAGTAGTAGCACCGGGAGAACAGTATCGACCCGTCTTCCTCCTGTGTTATCCAAGCGCAACGTTCAAGTCACATTGGGCCCTCTTTGCTCCTCAGGTCCACGATAAAAAATGCAGAGCAGGGCGTAAGATTCATGTCACTGGGAATGTCCAACAGGGGTTCAAGCATGAAATCATACGAAACTACGACTTAACCCAAACGCGTACTAAACCACTCACACCCCTCGAGATTGGTCTGGTTTCTACGCAACATTTGGTTGAAATTGCCGAGGACTTGCGCTTTGCTGAAGACACTGCGGCTCGAGATGCATTTGAGCAGCTGGTTCTGTCGATCCCGGCGCCTAGTCAGAGTCTTAATAGGGTTTCTGACGATCCAGTGAGTACTGATGCACATACCAAATTCAACTGACTTGAGCCCAATTTCTGATATTTTTAAGGCGACACGATCTGGCCCACCACGTAGAGTCACTCTATCAGATTGCCAATGGTGGATTATGCGTGTTGTTGAGAAGCTGGTAGAGCAGGGTTATATATTGCCCCCAGCTCGTGGTCTCAACAAGGGCAAAAGCCCGCTTGAAATATTAGCGAGCGCTCCAAGACATTAAGTTATGAGCTGGTATTGTAATCGATCCCAGCATTGTATGTATATGTAGTTATTAGGAGTAATCATGGTCGTGTATGTGTATGTTCAGTTTTATCAGTGTCGTGGCAGATTGTCCACCCTTAAGATCGGAGCCTCTCCCTCATGTCCTTCGTTTAGTGGCAGTAGAATTCCCATTTGGAATAAGTGCGAAGTAGCTTCTTTAATCCACCACTGGCAATCTTTAACTTCCGTCCTCTTAAGAGGGATTCCAGCAGTCCTACTAGCATCTCTGTTCACTTTATTGAGGCTAGGTCCCGGTGCTGGCACCTCCCTGCAAGCCGCGTCAAATGCATTGAAAACGATATTCTCTGCGTCTCTCTGATCCTCCTCTTCGCTTGAGGTAACAGTTCCGTCCTTGTTTGCTAGACTCAAATGTGTCTCCGACACCAACCCGAGAGGGAAGGCATTAGGGTTCCTGTCGTCTTCGCAAACATTATAGTTGCGGATATATTCATACTGAAACCCGTTGAGACGGTCGCCTGTTACATGAATGCGGTCACCAATGTTTGATTGCTGATTGTCAGTGTCGACATAAGGTAGCCAGAATGACCAATGCGCAGCGAATAAACGAGAAGGGTATACTAAAACGTAAATAGTTCGGGGCATGGCGTTTGTATCGTAGCAGACGCTATATAATAGTAGGTGATTGAGATGAGTTTAAGAGGATAATGATCATTGAAGTTATGAGAGAAACGGCAGTACCAGCCACTTGTAATTTTGATTGGTTGAAATATGGTAACTGCATGCCAGCCCCTTGAAAGAGCTATACCATTACATAATCTTCGAGTAACTGACAGATCCTAGAATCAGTTGAAATGATGACATTTCGAATAAAAGAGTGTCATGTTAACGTGCAGCCATCTTATTGTATTTCCAGTTCTTGATTTACTTACACGGTTATGATAAAGGCATACTTCTAAGCTCTAATCTCTCGCCTGAGATATTGATGAAGCTGCTATGACTGAGATAAGCCTTTTTCTTATTGTCATATTTAAACCATACTTAAGATATATATCTATACCAATGTAAGCCTAATAGATAGTTTGGTGAATACCTATTTATACTATGATTTCTAGCTTAGAGTAAACTCTAACTAGTATCTTTAAACTCTAAGTCATTACACTTTGGAAGCATCAATAGACTTTTGCTACTTCAAACTCATTGGCGTTGGGCTTTGCTAATAGATATCTGCACGTACCTAGGTCACGGCTAGCAGATACATGTGCACTGTGCTATGCCATCATACTGAATTTGTCTAGTAAATTTGCATTGATAATCATGGTGTCCCGATAGATAATACGGTGGGTGCGATAACAAGCGGTATCCGAGTCATTCGAGTCAAGTGAGCGTAGATGATGGAGGGAACGGATAGTTAGTATGCATGTAACTTGGGTCATTTTCGCGAGTCGGTAGGGGAGAATGTTCCCCGGATGGGTAACACTAGGTGGATAAGGTTTCACATGTAAGAAGCTCGGGATACCTTCTACATAATGTGGCATATCCTAATTTCTAATAATGCGGTCTGCACTTCAATAAATCCAACTTCAGCATGATGTGTAGTCTTAATGCTCCAGTCCCTAGAAAGGGGAAAAGGTTGTTGAGTAGAGCAGGAGAGCACGTGTCGCTTCGCCAAGAATCTGTTTTGAGTCAAGTACACCGCAGCTGATCCAGGGTGGCAGGCTGGTAAATTGAAGCTGCAGGGCTGGTGGGTTGAGTGGTCAGTAAGAGCCAGTAGAGCTCGGACGCTGAAAACAGATTCCAAGCCAATCAAGCTTGTACCTTACTACCCCTAGCTCGATTGTGTCATACCATCGTTATCTGAGGTGAATCTTACGAGTCAAGTCCCCAAGCTATGTACATGTAACAGATGCAACTAACTAACTGTTACAAACAAAGTGCGTTCCAGGAGTCCGTCGTAAAATCGATTGGATGATATAGCTAAAGAAGAAGATAAATTGATCGCTTTTGCCTGGTATCGCCGTCCTCGTGAGCCTTTGCACCTGTGGCAAATCTGTAGCACTTTCAGGGTCCAAAAGCTGCATAAAGGTAGGGAATCCACGTATGCATGCTGATACCTACATGTATCCTACCTAGCTCGGTCGATAAGATACATAGGGGAGAGAGCATTGAAGATGGTCATTCCTTATCACTGACCAATTGCCACGGGAACTCAACAGATTCAATTTGCCTATACCTGTTTAGGTACTCATCGGCAACCGCGTGAGCCGGAACCGATTGGGAATGGATCCTCTCCATTGCTGAATTGTATGTACATATGTACCTATGTACGTAGGTACTTCTTAATTCCGATTCCGGCAGTTACCTATTTTCTCTATGGCTAGGTACCAGGGACTCGAAGTGTTCCCAATGAGAGTGTTTGATAGAAATCACTTGCATCTTGAGCAAGTCGGAATTCAGCATCGAAGCAGGGGAAACACAAACTCTCGGTAGATGACGATTGAAGGATTGCTAGTATCCTCTAAGGTACGATGTACCCAAGACTCGGGGATTTCCACCAACAAGGGGGCCTAAACTGATTTAGGGTTAGTGTTAAGGTCAGCCTGCGCCGCTAGCCCCAGTGCGAGCTAGCATTTCCGCTCTTATCTGGTTGGCCCGGCGGCTGTGTGCGTCACCTGCACCACTCCAGGCTGGGGAAAGCAGCCATAGTGTAGGTTGGTACACGGTCGCAAGGTCGGTACCTTGTCACCGTAAGCTCGTGCTTTGGCTTGTGGCAGCCACCTTTATCTTTCCCGCTTTCGCTCGTCAAGAGCTTTCTTCTTCTCTTCCTTCTTTTCCTCCATCTCCTAATCATCTCATCTTCCTATCATCAACACAAAGTCGTCTTATCTTTGTGTGAATACTACACCTACCGAGCACCATTGGCTTGGCCTCTCGGATTTCTCCTGGTATTTCTTTTACCCTTCAAGTCGCAGGCAGACTTATCATTCACTGGTGCATTGTTATCGGTCCGCAAATATCCATCATCCATCATCCATCAATAAATCAATCAATATGAGGGGCTTCATCGCTCTCTCTCTTGCCTGCGCTGCAGCTGCAGCGCCCTCGTTCAGCTACGAGACTATCCACGATGGAGCAGCTCCCATCCTGTCTTCCGCTACCTCCGAAGAGGTTCCCAACTCATACATCATCAAGTTCAAGAGTCACGTTTCCGATTCATCGGCCGCTGATCACCACTCGTGGGTTCAGAAGATCCACAGTGACAAAGAGGATGAGCGATTAGAGCTCCGCAAGCGTGGTCAAATCCCGCTAGTCGGTGATGTCGTTGATAGCTTCAAGGGTTTGAAGCACACCTTGAAGATTGGCTCCGAGTTCCTTGGATACTCTGGCCACTTTGATGACTCAACTATCGAAGAGGTCCGAAGGCATCCCGATGTAAGTATCAATCTAGCATTCCAATGTATGAGTCATTCCGAGTAGTTGTGCTAACTTAGGAATCATAGGTCGAATTTATCGAGAAAGACTCGGTCGTCTATGCTCTCGTGGACGACGAGCCGGTCCTAGAGAAGAACGCGCCATGGGGTTTGGCACGAATCTCGCACCGTAAACAACTTTCCTTCGGTACATACAACAAGTACCTCTATGCTGCTGATGGCGGTGAGGGTGTGGACGTCTATGTTATTGACACCGGTATCAACACTGAGCACGTTGACTTTGAAGGTCGTGCCTCTTGGGGCAAGACTATTCCTAGCGGTGATGAAGATGTTGATGGCAACGGTCACGGTACCCACTGCTCCGGCACTGTCGCTGGTAAGAAGTATGGTGTTGCTAAGAAGGCCAATGTGTACGCCGTCAAGGTCCTCCGATCTAACGGATCTGGTACTATGTCTGATGTCATGAAGGGCGTTGAGTGGGCTGCTGAAGCACACTTAGAGCAAGTTGCTAAGGCTAAGAAGGGCTCTCGCAAGGGCTTCAAGGGATCCACCGCCAACATGTCTCTGGGTGGAGGTAAATCTCCATCCTTGGACCAGGCTGTAAATGCTGCTGTTTCCGCTGGTCTCCACTTCGCCGTCGCTGCAGGCAATGACAACGCCGACGCTTGCAAGTACTCCCCTGCTGCTGCTGATAAGGCCGTTACTGTCGGTGCCAGCGCTCTCGATGACAGCCGTGCGTACTTCTCCAACTGGGGCAAGTGTGTCGACATCTTCGGACCTGGTCTCAGCATTCAGTCGACTTGGATTGGTAGCAAGACTGCTATCAACACTATCTCTGGCACGTCCATGGCTTCTCCTCACATTGCTGGTCTCCTTGCCTACTTCCTCTCTCTGCAGCCTGCCAAGGACTCCGAGTACGGCCTCGCCGACATTACTCCTGAGAAGTTGAAGTCCAACATTGTCACCATCGCCACTAAGGATGTTCTCTCCGATATCCCCAGTGACACTCCTAACCTACTCGCCTGGAACGGTGGTGGCTACTCCAACTACAGCGATATCGTCAAGCAGGGTGGCTACACTGCCGAGACCCCCGCTGACAAGGCCATCAGCATTGAGGATCTCGAGAAGGCTATCGAGCACGACTTCAACGTTGTTTCCGGCACCGTTGTCAAGGGTGTCTCCTCTTTCTCCGGTAAGGCCGAGGAACTTTCTCACAAGATCCATCAGGTCGTTGAGGAGGAGCTTAAGGAGTTTTTCCAGGAGCTCCGTGTATAAAGTAATGTAGCATCGTTGTCCTTAGCTAGTAGAGCTTGCACGTGCTGAATATTGGGCATCGGCAAGTATGGCATAGATCATTGAGGAGTAGTGTTTTTTTGGGCATTCGGTCAAATCGGCCTATTTATATTTGTACACGCAGAAATGGTCTCGGTAGTATGGGTTTACGTCTTATTAGGCTTGTCTCGTTATGGCCGGAATAGCAAATTTGTCATTGCCATTCGCAATTTGACTAGCATATGTTTTCGTAGTTAATGTGATGAAGTAATCCAGGTTTCCTCGACATTCGTAGAATATCTATCTCATATCTGGTAGGTACCTAAGGTATGCGTCCAAAATGGTCCCTTACAGCTTTGTACTTATTTAATATTCGGCTGTCTTGTCTAGATGCATGTGAGCTACATACCTATGTACCTACCTACCTAGGTATATTGGTAGCAATCTACTCGTGATACAGGCCAACAGGTACCTACTTACATTTAGTACCTTAGGTAAATACCTAGGATGTAGTAACCAAAGAGTAGAAGGTATAAGGCACTTGCATGTATGCATGTAGGTACACTGCCGTACATATAAGTGCGGCTCCTATGTTGAAGCAACATCCATCGTATAGGGAAGGGTGGACTTTCCTCGATGTCCTCGAGGTTATTGCCCTCCTCCTTTGTAGAGTCGAATGCGAAATGACCTTTACCGATTCTACCACATTTTATCTTCACATATTCCCATCTTAGCACATACATTCATCGAACTTCAGCACTATCATCTCCAATCGAGATCTTCCATGTTGAAAACGGTGACTTTTTGGTTAGTTTACATTTCAAACGGGCTTCTAAATTAGTCCAACTTCGCTGTTGGATTGACCGATTTTTTTTGGTTTCTGCATGTGGACGCCATTAACTACCGTCTTTGGATCCTGTCCTCTGCCCTTATTATATCTAGATACTTTATTCTACCCGGGCCAGAATGCACCGTCGGAATAGCACAAAGTTCCATCACCTTGACCGTCGAAAATCGGCTTCCTCTGCGAAAAGCGTTCATCTAGAGCATATCCATCCTGAGACGGCTAAGCGCGATGCTCAGGCTGCTGCTTCTCAAGCATTTGCGAGGGCTAGAGAACGCTCTACTACGGACACAACTTTATGGCCACCACCACGGAACAGCGATCCGACCAGGGCCTCTGGCTCTAGCAGTATACACGATAGACGCAACAGTGACTCTCCCATCAAGCGCCAACAAAGTGTCCGTTTTGTACGAGAGAACACCACACGTGGTACACGAAGTAATACCGTAGTCGAAAGTATGACGCCAACCTTCACAACCAATACATCCCAAGGTAGGACTGATGGAAACAATATTGAACCTCGACTGGCAAGCAGTGCCTCGGCGGCGGGAATGGTCTCTGCAGCCAAAGGCGCAGCAGGTGACTACATTAATGCACTCCTTACAGGCGAGGAGTATTATACGCCTGAAGACGACATTGCCTCCGTTCCTTCATCCTATCGGAAAATCCGAAAATCTAGGTCGATGTTCACCTGCTCTGAAGCCAGTATAGCTTCACGAGGCGACGATCAAAGCCCATCCTCTATAACAATAAATCAGCTCCCAACGATGTCTGCAGGTTCCTTGAATAGGGGTATTGGCGAAAGTACGCCTGGGACAAAACTTAAAGCACCCAAGTCCATGTCTTTCTTAAGGGGTCGCTATGATCAGTCGATGTTGTTCTCCAAGCGCCGTGGAAGTGTTCCTATGGGGCTATCTAGTAATGAAAGCTCTAAAACTCGGACCAATACGGAGGTTCCCACAAAGTCACAACCATCAGTCTTCTCTCGTTCAAAGTCTATCAACGCCGACAAGGTTCTCAGGAAGAGCATGAGAGATGGGAGTAATGATACCCTACTAATAGATGGGAAAATTCCCAAAGATGGCAGTCTAAGAAACCGCGCTCGGAAGGTCTCGAACAGCTTTAAGCATAAATTAAAAAGCTTCTTTAATTTGGTCAAAGGAGATACCGATGAAGCCGAGTTTCCCCCTCAACAAATTGAAGCTTCAAAATCCCATATCATGGACCCTAGCTCTTTGGGTTATACAGGATATGACGAATTTCAGTTCGAGCCGACAAGTGACGAAGCGGCTATATCACGCGTTCCTTCAGGAGTTCCGTCATTACATGCCGTCCCGTCATACCAGCAACTTCGTTCACGGCAAGGCAGCGTCGAGAGCCTAAGAAGCGAAAGAAGAGCCTCGGATGAAAGGTCTCGAGTAACAAGTTGGTCGAACTCAGACACCAACACACTTAACACGTTAAGCAGCCAGAAAAATGAATGGGACCGACAGCGTCTGTCAGTTATAAAAGAAAATGGGATGCATGTCTCTTCATCATCAGCAAGACCTTATGCCAATGCCTACGGCGTCAGTCCAGACACTAGTGTTCGTTCTGTTCAACCACCAATGCCACCACAGCCAGCGAGCATTGACAGTCAAAGAATCTACTCCGCGCTTATGAAAAGGCTTAACGATACGAATAAGCATTCGCGAAGAAGCGAACCTCAAAGGCAAGAAAGTGCCGATGGCTTCATTGATACGGATGCTATACCTTTGAGAGGTAGCTCTCGGGACCATGACAAACGATTGTCTATCTCGCGAGCAACCATTCGCCACGTTATTTCTGACGAGTTCTCCGACCTATCTTCGGCGAGAGCAACCGGAGAGAACCCAATTTCAAGTGGTCTCGGGCTTGACGCGAAACTGGACGAATCCCCTTTGCATTCCACCAGTGAATTAAACACCAAGAGACAGGAGCTTTCATCCTTTACATCAATAACCAGGGCAAATGAAGCCAGCGGGCTCACCAATGGAGATCTTCCACCAACCTCTGTCCCACACGTCGATAAACTCTCACCTCAGGCGAGAACATTGTCGACTCGTAGCTCGGCTTTCTTTGCCAGCCCTACGTGTCATCTATTCCGCACTCGAAGCCCATACAGACGTGCACTCCAAGATTATATGAAAGCCGAACCCCAGAATACACGAACCAGGTCCCCAGAGTTTAATCCTTGGATGCGTTCACTGACGAACCTACCCATCAGATGCCCGAGCACATGCGAGTCTGAAGTGGATAAGAAAATGTATTACGCGGAAAGTGTGTACTCTTGTACAACAGAGGAGCCATCTACTGGACCATTGAACAACAATGTATCTCATACTGTAGATGATTTGCCAAGGCATTCAACTACGCATGGAGATGCCACAATATTTGTTAGTCCTCCTGTCTACCGGCCTACTCCGCCGCCGCCACCTAAACAGAGAGTCACATCTTCAGCAAGTTCTGTGGAATGGAAAACGTGGCTATCTGCTAATGTTTCAAAACTCGAGGGCACGTCTGGTCGTGCGGACACAAATGTCATGGAATATGCCGTACCATCGACTCGTCCATCAGGTCATATTCGCGAAGAAGCCCAGATAAACGACGAGGACGAACATCTTCCATTAGAAGTATATAAGCCTACAAGACCGGACAGTGCTCTCGCAGCAATCGAGAACAATGCGAGAGCCTCCCCGCAGACCCCACGACATGTTCCAAAGGGTTCATCGCCAGTTTATGACTGCGGAAAAGAAAATGAGGTTCCGGAGCGACCTGCGGTTCTTTCTAAAAGTATATTACGTACTACACCATCATTAGCAAGCATGAAATCGGGTACCCAAGAAGCAAATACGTCTACAAAGAAAGGTGTGTTCGATTCCAACCGCCGGAAGTCTCTCGCACACACGCCCTCGCTCAACACCCTTGCGGGTAATTCTACTCCAACTTCAACTAGGAAGTTGGTAAGAAGACAGCTAGGACATAAGATTCATGCTACGCCCGCGGCGAGCCCAGGACTTGGATTAATAGTGGATAAAAGCTCGGGAAAGAACAGTGGCTCGACTAATTCAATGCGCATATTTGGCACAACGGTATTAAAGAAAACGGAAAACGTTAGCCCAAAAAGCATCGTCGATGCTGATGTTGACCCATACGGTGTCCAAGGGTCCGGTATCCTTGGCCCAGGGGCTGACCTGAATCCAGAGTCGATAGGAAGCAAGAAGATAGTTGATCTCTTCCTTAGTAGCAGGCGTAAGCGCATAGCGAGCGGCGAAGATGGTGGTGTATTTTCATAATAGACGTGTATAAGAGTTATCAGTTGGGTAATCTTGAGTTGGTTGTGAAAGGCGGACAGGAAACTAGCTTGAAGCACAGCACTTACGTAGCTGCGGCTTTTTCGAGCACCTCAGGTATTAGGAAAAGGAACTCACAGCATTATACGATACGGCTATAAAGACGGACGTATCGATAGAAGGAGTGTATAAAACGCTATACGACCATCGCTTAGTATGAATGAAGAAATGGCTACTTACGTCAAGACTTCCCGCTAGAGTAGCCATACGATTGTAATAGAAGCAAATTGATTCTGGACACTGTTCTGGGCAAGCTTAGTTATGCTGAATTATTTGAAATTGGAAATATTTACATGTTCGTATAAAGGTGTTTTCACGTCCTCATAATCCCTCGGGGAGCGCGTAGAGATGTTACATCAGCAGCCCCTGACCATTCGACTTGAACACAACCAATATGTACATATTTTCAAAGCTTCTTACCGGACAGGCCCTGATTCGAATAAGCAACTAATAATGTTAATAAGTGGTTGCTACAAATATGTGATTACTTCGATTAAGAAAAGACTTCTAGGCGGTGCCTAGTTCCGGAGTTGAGAATCAATCTCCTTAAAAGAAGTACTGGGCTCAAACATCAAAACCATGACAATTTCTTGGCCATAAGTAAAACCCCTAGACTGTACAATAACTGCCAAGAGTAGTGGGATCGCCTTCGAACGAAGATTGTTCCAGCGTTATATTCTACATCGATCGCTATTGACTTGGCGAAACCGCTCCTCTACCTTGACGCCAGAAGAAGAATAATTGCACACAATGGCTGGGTACCTAGGTTGGTGCGGTCTTATAGGTAACGTCGAAGGAGCGTGTGCGCCGATACGTTGCATTGCGGCTCCTTTGCGCAGCACCGCCGGCCAATCACAACCGTTCTCGGGCTCTGACGTGCGTTGCGCACTTACCGCGGGTTTCAGAAGCTGCTGGAGGCCAGTGTAGTTGTGTATCACGGGAGGGGCTGTGATCCTCCGACGTGAGGCATGTTATGGCTTGTGGCGTCGCTTGGGAAAGCTTGTTAGGTTGCATTGGTAGCGAGCTTATTCCCGTCTGAAGAAAGGGGGATGGATCGCCGAGATCTTCGGTCTGGATCAAGATTTCGTGATGAAACAAAAGATATGCCCTGTCATGGAAGGTGTACATATATATAGAACTAGGCATCCAATTGATGTATATCACTCTGAACATTATTTATCACATAGACATGGACGTATATAGTATACATATCTGTATGGCCTCGGCTGCAGCTTGTCAACGTCGTGTTGCCGTTTCTGTGGCGGCTTACCAGATAGGAGTTATAATAGCTATTTTCGGCCCCCTGTCTCAAACTAGAACAATATATTGAGTTGAGAAACAAGTGGCGGCCGTATAAGCCAAGGATACTTTCCGCGACGGGGGATACCGTGTCTCTCTTTTATGAAGGAGGTGTGACTTAGATACATAGCAAGTAAGCATATAATAAGTATACATACAGTCTGATCCTAGTTCTCTACGAGATGAATTTTAAAAGTTTACTTGAATTTCGTCTGTCTTCCCACGTGGGACCATGGATGTTGTCGACATAATTCTAGTATCATATGATTACGAAGTACCCCAGTCGTGAGCCTCCATGGAGGATAATCATCGTTACCGCGTCGACTATAGCGAGAATGTCGCGCCGAAGTATCCAGCGGGGAACCACGACGGAATTGAGGTAGTTCCTAGCGACTCTCCTTTCTATCCTCATCCTATATATACCGCCCCTCCGGCGAACAGAGGCGAAGAGTGGCCCTCGGTGCCGAAGAGTTGGGCCGATGCGCCGGTGTCAGCGGTAACAGCACCGGAGGAACATAATAAAGAAGAAAAGCGGCGGGTGTTGGGACTCACTATCCCGCTATTCTGGACAGTCGTCGTCATTATAGTTGTCGTTCTTGCAGCGGCTATTGGAGGGGGGATAGGCGGAGGCTTAACGGCGCAACAGAAATCCAACACCAGTGCATCAAGGTTCGTAACACCCGAATTATATCGTACTCCCTTGCTAAATGAGTTTAAAAGTGATACGGAAAACGCGCCCCAAGCATCCTCAACATCGGCCTCGCCGGCTTCTGCAACAACGACAGCACCGGCCAACGGCCCTCTTCCCTCAGACGGCGGGTGCCCCCTAATCAACGGACAAAGGTATACGCCGTATGCTGTAGATGGTAAACCCATCCCACTCGCGCAAGGCCTTGAGGGGCAACAGTTCCGACAACAATGTTACACGAACTATGTCTCGTCGGGAACATCACAGACGCACGATATCCTGCGCATATTCATGCCGACTCTCGAGAACTGTATGATGGCCTGTGCTGAGGCAAGTTACCCTTTTCCTCTCTGGCGACCGACACGGGCGTGTCTCGGGGTTCAAGGAAAAAAAAGAAATTCTAGCTAAGTCTCACTAAGTTAGAATATTCCCCGAGACATTCCGCGCCCCTTTAATTTTCTCGATTTGGTGCTGACTGATTCATTGTAGTACAACTCGGCGTACTACGCCAACTTGGGGAACGGGACCGGTGTCGGAGGCGGTTTCTGCGTTGCTGTGACGATAGTTAAAGTCGATGCTGGATTTTGCTACTTGAAAAATGGTACTAGTACGAATGATACTCTGGGCCATCCGGATACTTATTCGAGTGCTGTGTTGCTTACCAAGATCGATATACCGGATTCTCAAGGGGTTTAGGGGGTATCGCGACGGCTGTCTTATGAAGTGATATCAATTATAGAGAAAGGCAGATTAATTTACAGCTCTGCATTAAAATAACTATGTAGGTAAATATAATGTACTTATAAGATATGGATGCGTGCATGAGGTCTTTGGTTCCCTAGGTATCACACTGTAATTAGACAGTGGTACTTCGCCGCGAATTAGCCCATAAGCTGACTACCTAGAGGCTCAATAAAGGGGGAATTCGCGTACAATAGATAGTTAACGCAGTGTATTACCTATTATTTAAGTTTTGTTTATATTGTCTAGTAGAAGATGTGCCGCGAAGCTGGTGATATAGGTCATAAGTTCATAGCGCGTACTTTCGACCTGCCCTTTTCCAAGCCAGTCGTCCAAACATTCAGAATCCGTAAATTCCGACCACGTACCATTCCAAACACGCCCTATCTTACATCCCACAAGCCGTAACAGATTAACTGCTAGGCTACCACATCCATATCTTACATATTCCTAAGCTTAAGATCTACTCTTACCCAGTTCGCTCTGCGCCGTAGCAGTAGGGCCGCCTTTAACCCGCTGGCCCCCAGTGACCTGCTTTTCTCCCTCGGTAATGTCGTGGAGATTCTGGCTGTTGATGGGTTCATTGGCGTGACTCTGGGCCTGCGCCGTGGGTCCCCCCTTTACGGGCTGGTCTTGGCCCGTCAGTTCTTTCTCCGCGCTGTGGATTGTGGATATTGTGTGTGAGTCTAGCTTTCCGGTGTGTTGCGGGACGGGGTTGGCTGTCTATAACAGGGAAAGTTAGTTACGGGCGAGTTGTACTTATACGGTTTGAGGTTCGGGCAAGAACTTACGGAGGAGGCGATGCTCTGTGCTAGGGCTGCGGGGCCGCTTGATACAGGAACATCGCGACCTGTTACTTTCTTCTCTCCTTGCGCGACATCGGAAACTACGTCGGAGGAGACGGGCTGGTTGGCGTGTTTTTGCGCTTGGGCTGTTGGACCACCCGCTACAGGTCGGTCTTGACCTGTGAGTTCCTTCTCTTTGGCTGTGATTTCGGAGATGGACTGCGAGTTGAGAGTTCTGTTACTGGCCATGATGAATGTCTTCGGGACAGCTGGTCTAGGACTCGCGATGAGTGAGCTGATATTAGGTAGTCTAAAGAAGTTGGTAAGTACGGATCGAGACATGATTTCGAGATGAGTTTGTATAAGTAATTGTTGTGTAAGCGGGGGAAACGTTTCCTGGTAAAGGTTTAATATCTCTCTTTAACAATTGTTATAGCGACGTCTTTAATAATCTATTAGAAGGCTAAATTAGAGCTATATATATTTTCTTTTACATCTATGATGATTTGAACGTCATATAATACCAAATAACCCCGTATCTGACCTCATGGGTTGATCCTGTCCGTTTGTACCTACAGTAGCGCCATCGAGCAAGCCGGACACATCTCCGGTTCTGCTTTGACAACTACAAGCACCTTTAGTTATTCAACGGCATAGATTTTCCATGTATGTGCAATTTAATATCAGAGAAAATTTCTCTTGTAGTTGATTGTATGTTGCTCTACTACATAAATGGGGAGTTAGAAATATTAGCTCTAATAGATGACGTCAAACGCTGTAGGACTTATCGCCGAGACATTCTGGTGTAATCATTGCCTCCCGTCAATATCCACCCTGACGACATCAAGCCCGGCGAGACGGGGACAGGGACGCTAGACCTTGAACTTGGTGCTATATCGCGTAGTGATAAAGACGGTAGCTTGACGCTCTGGCCAGCGAAGTATAAGCTAGTGCTTGATATTGACGACCGCACGGCGTGGGACTTTGAGATCACAGGGGACCAAGTGGTGTTGGAGAAATTACCGCCGAAGAGGTTGTGAAGAAGAAAAAGGGGGAAAAGGGATGGGGTAGGAGGAGCGGAGAATGCCACCTGTGAAATATATAGTAAATAAGATCGCAATTTAGGTAAATATTTGCGAAAAAGTTGCACATGTGTTGCACATATGTATTAATATTAGTGATAAATCGAGCTAAGTATACAATCTACGAAACGAATGAATCTAATTCTCCGAGTTAATCGACACGGCACAGTTGGTATCCGACCTCCTCCCAGCGATCGTTGCCTACGCAAGGGTGGCACCAGAAGACATCATCTGGGTCTACGGCGCGCTTGATCTGGAGTAGGCGGTCGTAGTTGTCTCCCCAAAAACTTTGTTGCCAGTTTGGCTCTCCGGGGTTGTTCTATAACTCTTATTAGCCACTAGTTATGTTACTCATAAGGAGGTAAGTGAAATACCTCGTTCAAGTAAGATCCCATTTCAGGTGCTAATTTTCTGAGTGGTTCTACTTTAGCATTGATTTCGGCAAGGGCCTCCTCCTTGGCGGTCTGATTTAATGGTTGGAATTCCACACCGGTGACTTGAGGTGAGATAGAGTGTTAGTCTTTGGCCAAGAAGGATTGGGATATGAGTTTAGCTCACCAGCATGGATGATAGTCTTCCTCCACGACGGATTCACAGAGTCGCTGCCTCCCCTCGGCTTGGCATTCTTGGTACCCTGACCGGCTACAAGGAAAACTTCGCCGTTAAAGGCCTTAAAGGCCTCGCCTACAGCGGTTGCGTTCTTCGTCAAAGCTTCAGCGTCTAAGAGGTGAGAGCCGAGCCAGAGATCGGTACCCGCGCTGCCTTGATCATAATGGGTATTAAACCAGTCCTGTAGCTGGGCATAAGTCTGGGGTATTACTACCGGGGTTATTCCTGGCCAGGTCTTGTTCACATGCTCTATGATCGGTTTCCATACGTCAAGCATGTCATTTACATCTTGCGTATCCAGTAAGAGGAAGAAGCCGCCCATACCGGCCCCAGTTGTTGGGACGCCGGGGTACGAGAAGTTGCTCGAAACAATGCTGTAACCCGATATACCCTTGGAGTCTAGGTAAGGGTATTGCGAGAGTAAATACCCCGCCATCTCCGCAAAGTACGGCGCATCGACCTCAGGACTCAAGATGCTTACTGTGGCTGCCACAACTTTTGGCGAGGGATATGTGATAAGTGTAACCGAAGTCATAACTCCGAAGGTTGAACCACCTCCCTAAATTAGGCGATATTAATTAGTAGGCTTCATATGATCGGTAGGGGTAACATACACCTCGCATAGCCCAGAACAAGTCCTGGTTCTGGCACTCGTTCGCCACAACGATGTCTCCCGCGGATGTCACGACTTCCATTTCCAGGATTTGGTCCGCACCAAGTCCATATCGGGGAGCGAGGATAGAGTGTCCACCGCCGGTCAGATATCCACCAACGCTGACAGATTTGGCGTTACCACCAACTATGATCTGGCCTATCTTGCCGAGCTCCTCGTAAATACTTGAAAGTTGAGACCCGGGTCCTACCGTTGCAGCCGTGCTATTGAGAATGAAGTCGCACCCTTGTGGCTGGAATGACGTGTGCGTCTCCAGGGCTTGCATATGGTGCGTCCAGATCGAGAGGGCTCCCGGAGCTTGTGATCTGCCCTGGTAATCATGACCAGTACTTTTCACTACGATTCTAATGTTATATGTGCGTGCTATAATGCGTTATTAGACGGTCGAGTTCGTAACTGTGGCTCGCTTGGCTTGCGGGGAACTTACCAAAATCTATACTCAACTTGATATCCTGAGCGGTTGTCGCGTTCACGACGTATGCAGGGTATCCGTCAGGACTACACGGGGAATTTGCGTCGGGAAGGCAGGTGTCATTGTTGTACTGATTCCACATGCTTGAGATTGGATCATTCTGGGAGAAGTCGTAGGTAAGCCATTCTTGAGCGATAGCTGTGCACTGTTCGGCATCGTAGGTGGGTTGTTTAGGATGGCAGACAGCTCCTGGGGGGACCGCTCGAAGAAGCTTTCCTCCGGTAGATTGGTTGAACTGGGCCCATGTATCGGCGGACGGCCACTCGGGAGAACCGGGGGCGGCCTTGCAAGCTACTGCCGGGTGTTGTCCGCCGGTTGTTCTTGGCTGTCCTGAGAAGGCATCGCTATAAGCGAAGACGGAGGTGAGAGCAAGAAGTCTCAGCGAAGCTGCCATAGCGCTGTTAGTGAAACCTACGACTAATTGAGAGGTGATAGCCTATAGGTAGTAAACTCACACAGCAGTTAATATGAACGGATGTGACGAGCTTCATATATCAATTTGCAACTCCATTTTCAGCTCACCAACTCCGGCTTCAGCTTACGTATGTTGTGGATAGGTGACCAATAGCTACGCTGCGCCGCATACCCGATGATCACTGGTAGATGTTATAATGCGATAATAATACGTCGTTGACTAATCCTATTCTGCAATGAGGGTTGTTATTGGAGCTATGATATTTTTATGAGTTGTGGCTATGTAGACCCCTTGTATGTTGTATTGGAAAAAGCCGAGGCGCTGACCCCTTATACCACCTACACACTATATTATCTCCATCGTAATTAAACCCAGCTAACTCCGCGTCATAAATCTATCTCGATTTAAGTAAACAGTTTGGAATATATCTCAGCACCGTTTTCCCGTTTCAATTTCGGAGTTAGCAATCATCTATAACGAGTCGTTATTCTCACGCAGGCCGATTCACGACGGTAGTATCAGAACTGCCTTCTAAGCCGTTGCCCTTTTTCTTTTCCTCCAGGCCAAATTCTGTTTCTAGGTGTGTCCGTAACATTATCTCCTTCTCGAGAAAGCAGAGCAGGAATCCCACTAGCGCGAAAGCCAGAGAGACCTGCCATATCAACTGCAAGCTACGCGTGTAAACATCAATGACATGACCTCTCTGAGGTTCTGGGAAGCTTTGTATGAAGTCAGCATTAGCATATTCGTATGCATTCCCACTAGATAGCCGGGCCTCTATCTGTGAGTCGTCAATGCGCCAGGACTCGGTTACGAACTTGGCATTGAAGATGGCCGCGGGGATCGAAACACCCCAGATCGAACCATAAGCGCGCACGAACGCAAACGCGGCAGTAGCGGCAGCTGTATCGGACTCTGGAAGATCAGCTTGCACAGCCGGGAGGTTGGTAGACATCATAATACCAAGGCCGAAAGCCGCAATGATTTGAATAATAACCCATTCGGCGGTAGAAGTGTTTCGACTGAACCGTGAGAAGAGGCCAAAGCCTAAGGTTATCAGCACAAAGGCGATGATGTGCAGCGGTCGGTATCTCCCGGTTTTAGTCAAGACAACACCAGAGATAGCCCCAGTAACCACTGACAGAAGAGCAGTAGGCAGTAGTGCGAGACCAGATATAGTTGGCGACATCCTGAGGACGGCTTGGAAGTAGATAGGTAAAAAGTACAAGACCCAAAACAAACAGATGAAGTTAATGAAGGCGATTATCAAAGCCGCAGCGGGTGTGCGACGTTTGAAGACTCGTTCCGGTAGTGTTGGATAATCCCTGACCCACGGTGCCCCTTCATATATGTGGAAAAGAACTAAGCCAAAGACACCCAGGAAAAGAGGCACGAGTATTTGGTAAGATTTCCATTCGTATCGTGTTCCTCCCCACGACAGAGCAATTAGGACAGAGACGACGCTCCCGATGAGGATAGCATTTCCCACGTAATCAATTTTCTTGAGCCTTTCGACGATAGAAGTCTCTTTATCGTAATTTACTCGGAGGAAAAGCAGGTGTAATATTAAGGCCGTTCCGGAGACTGGGAGGTTGATGTAAAACACCTGAATATTGAAGACCGGTTAGTAATGCTAGTTGGACTACCAAAGAGACTCAAGATTAACACTCACCCATCGCCACGTGGTGCCATCAACAATGGCACCACCCACCAGAGGTCCAACGGCGGTTCCTAGGGAGAAGACACCAAACACGATACCCATATATGCACCGCGCTGGCGCAGAGGAATAAGGTCGGACACAATCAATTCGATGAGGAGATTAACACCACCGCCCCCTATTCCCTGTACCGCGCGCCCAGCGATCATCATAGCAGCATTATTCGCTCCGCCAGCGATGCCGCTACCGAGGGCAAAGAGGCTAACGACTGCTATCATCATCCATCGGCGGCCGAAGAGATCGCACATTTGGCCGATAAGGGGTAAGAACGCAGTACTGTAAGATAAAGGAGGTCTAAGTTAGTAAAAGACTGTAAAATTCTCGAGGATATGAATAGGGGTGACTTACCTTGTCAGGAAATACGCATTGACAAACCAAACGTATAGGTCTCCGGCGTCGAGTTCACGGGCGATAAATGGGAGAGCCGTTGAGACCACGGTAGACTCGACGGCTGCTAGTAGGGTAGTGAAGCAGATAGCTGAGAACACTGCCCAGAACCGCCAACCTTTCGGCAGAGTAGTCGATGGGGTACCATTATCATGGTTAACCGAAAGTTGACCTTCAGGTGAAGAATCCGGTTGGCCCTGCAAGGGCCTGTCTCCTAGGCTTTCGCTTGCCATATTCTAAAATAACTCGATATATACAGAATCCCGTATATGAAAGTTTGTAGATAGGGTTAGTGGGAGTAGGAGGTTCTCTAGAGTCCGAAGCAGACTTTGTATGATATTATCAACACCAGCTAGGGGCAGTCTTTGAAGCCCCATAAGAAGATTTCTAAGAATTCTAACTTCCCCATGGCATTACTTGCCAATATTTTCCCTGCAATAGGGGAAATAAGTTCTAAGATGTTATGAAGGTTACTAATACAGCCGTTTTGAGGCTTGCCAGGGACTTCCTAATAAGGCAAGTCGCCGACTGTGGGACTTTCGGTGCGCCGGCCGGCGATCCACACCCAACATACTGTCACACAGCAAGTAGGTATGTTAGGAAAGGAGAACATTGACTATTTTGAGAAACGCTGTGTAACTAGAGATATCACTATCATCTAAGTCGAAACGATGCCAGGAACATTGTATTCGATATTAAAGTATCTTAAAATAAAAAAGGTGCAGTCCAAATGATAATGTCCAACATATGACTATACCCTGGACTCAAATTGTAAGTATATTGCAGATAGTACGAAGGCGAGGAGTCATAATTTAACCGGAGCAATAGGCGACGAATTTACGCTCAGAGCTATGATATAATTACATGTATTCTATAAAAGTACCACTCGTAATCTAAGATGGATTTAAGTGTCCTTATTTTATGCCAAAAGTGCTTATCCCTAAAAGGGTAAATTCGCATTATGTCGTACCTTACGTTCCTGTAAATCATTATTATCATCAATTAAGGTGCACAATAAGCTTCTTGAGATCATCAAGCAAGTCAAACAACGCGTTCTCTCGAGTTCGAATTACATTCCGCGCTAGATCCGGCACAATAACCAAGGACGTGCCACCAAATGACTGAAAATCGCCCCTATACCCAGGAGTCTGCTTAGGGAACGTTACTTCTGCGACTAGTTCCTTCGCCCGCGCCATCATCGCGTCCATAGAATTGATGAGGAAAATAGATTGGGTCTCCGGTTTCGAGGGTAAGGAGAACGAGCCCACGGTAAAGTCAGGCATCTGAAACGGATATTGGATAGTACGGTTAGGCGCTCTGTGCGTGATAGAAGCTTTTATGAGTCGGAGGATCCTGTCGTAAGTTTCGATCAAGCGGAGGTAGCATGAGTACATGAGCAATTCCGAGGAGGCGTCTAAAGAAAATGATGGGAGCTTATTTTCGGTCGTGCTCTCGGTGACGCTGTTCTGAGGAGGTGGTAATCTTGAACAAATATGACTTATAACATCTATGAATAATTGCGATATGTGGAAAGTTTCCTCTATACTAAATTGTTTGGCCCCTGGTTGCGACGGGGCATTAGTAGTATTGGCTTCCGGGACCGTGTTTAAGTGGCGCATTAAGCGAATATTGAGGTTCGATAACCTTTCAAGTAAAGATATAAGATCTGAATTAGGCCCTCTTGTATTTGATAGACCCTCTATCAAGTCTAGTCGGCCGAGATCCAGCCTCACGGCTGCCGACGACGACGATTCAGGGGTATGATTTGGCAAGGTTAAAGAGTTTATAGTGAGATGTTGATTATTAACCACGCCATTCGAATCAGATACATCTATATCCATCTGAGATGGTTCAGTGTCAATTGATAATGTTTGATCGCTGGCCTGAGTAGGCGAAATCTGAGTCCGACGTCGTGATGTTGCCGGAGGGCTAGAAATACATTCGGCGTTAGCGCGGATACAGCGCTGACACGGCTCATCGTCGTTATCCCTTAGGCATTTTGATTTAGATCGGTGGCATCGGTCACAAGCCCGTCGTAGCTGGTTCTGGCGTATAGGTTGAAAATGAATCATAGTGCCGCCTGCTAAATATTAATTAATGTCTTTAAAATAGTGAGTTAATTATTGATGCATCCTTCATATTATGGCGTTGGTCTGGATTTATTTAACAGTATAGTATTATGCATATATCAAGATTAGTTATGCAGTTATCAATCATAATTATTTATAACAACAACGCCAGGGGTCTTCCTCAGAGTGTCGTATACCAATTCTTAACTAAATCTTCAACGGTTAGAAGATTGCTATGTAGTTGATTAATATTTCATAAGATATAATCCGTGAATTTTCATGATTATCAACACATCATTCAGAGTCTTGATAGTTAGTGTTTCTTCAACCCTTATTCGTTACACCTATACAATAACATTTTAAGGTACGGATATAATATACTCCTATTCCCAACAACCATTAGACACTAAACTAACTTCAGATAGAGTTGAATGCATGTCCAAGTCACTTTAATCTTTAAACTCTTTCTCTTTCCCATCCAACCTCAGCTTTGTCAATGCGACAGCGAGTCTGCACATTTGTTCCGGGTCCTCGGACACTTTTGTCCACAAGGTGTGCACGTCATCCCCAATTCCAATCGCCTTCGCCGTCTTCAAGCTTCGTGGGTCTATAAAAGGCGCCAGGCAGGTCCAGATATGCTGTGCTGTATCAAAGAATATATTGATACCGACATCGCCTAAACCCTTGATGTTCTTGAGTTCTGCCCTGATCTTTGTCGGGTCCTCGGAAGTGAGTTTGAGGATCGTGTTCAGATCGCCCTCTAAAGATGCGCATTGTTAATTATGATATGATAACCTCTAAATCTAACTTCTATGTAACTTACCGTACTTATCTTCGACGAGTTGAGCAAGGTCTCCCATCATAGTTGCTGTCTTTTCTCTGTGTAATTATTAGTTAGCGATTGCCTTCATCGCGCAATAGAATTAAAACCCTACCTATAGTGTGTATAACCGCCTTCAGTCAGGACCTCAGTTCTTTCCTCCCAACTACTTTTCTTCAAGACATCAAGCTTGTGATATCCAACCTTGATCACTAGATCGACAGTCTTAGCAGCTAATGCATGAGAGATTCTCGACGAGGACAGAATTGCATTTAGTAGCAATGCGAGGACAGTATCTGGGGTCGGTTTATCCGGATCAGATAAATCCGTCTGGCTAAGTGGTAGCTCTCCATACTGAGAGATCAACTGGCGAATCTTGGAATTTGACACACTCTCGTCGCCTTCATTTCCATTTGCCTCGGTGCTATTATGAGATTCGGTTTTCTTCTGCTTTGTCTCTGGCTCTTGTGCTTGCGTAGTTGTTGTGGCTTCGCTATGGGACCGCTTTTCGCCAGAGTTTGGCTCGTGGGTCTTGTTCTGCGAGCGAGTTGTCACCATTGTCACTTGGACTCTACCTAATTATAAGGCTATTTTACTATATAAAATGCTGGATATTGAAATATATAAGTTTATATTTAACTTCAATAATGATGTCATAAATTACTACATACATTAAGCACGTGGAGGGATTCAAGGATTTGGTAATTTATATCACATCACTATGATGGTATCAAATCCAAAGAGGACAAGTGGGGCGGAGGCTACCCCTATTATCACATTATATAAATATATAAATGTTTACAATATTTTCATCATGTCCAATAGTGGCAGCATAAAGCAGCTTTCAGGATTGGCTATCATCTGTGCAGTATTACTATAAAAGTGTCGACAAATAAGGTCTTATACTTAAAGCTACGCATCCTGTAGAATATATCAATCGGTTTAATGAACCTTTCCGCATTCGGGGTAATAGTCGATCGTCGTAGCACATCCGTCACCCCAGTACTTTTTTCCGCAGTGGTGGCAGCCGCTCTTTCGAATATCCTGGTAATCCCACCACATATCGTTGCCAGACCTAACACAACCCGGGTTTCCTGTGATGAGGATTCCGCAACCGAAGTCGGTACCTATACCGTGACAAACTCCCAGATGTGGCATTCCGCTTCTGCAGGAACGGGTTAGCTAACGTTGTTTTGAATGTTGGAAAACTTGGTCATGGGTAAAAGGTAACTTACCCAACAGCTCCATAGTTGATATCGTCATTCCTGATAAGTTTGTAATTGACAGCTTCATCGCAGTCTTGTACCTTTAGAGTAGCGCACATGATACTTCCCCAGCAATCGCATTTCGGCTTATCCGTCTTTTCCAGGGTCCGGTTCTCGTAAGCGAAGCTAAAGCCGTTGGGGATTGCAGAGGCATTGAGCGCGGCTACAAAGGCCGTCGAAACTAAGATGCTAAAACGCATATTTGTGGTGATAAGACTTGATCTCTTTTCATGTGGTTTCTGGTTTGAAAATATTCGTCGGGATTGAATACGCTGCCGAGAAGATGTAGGAATCAGAGGATGGGAGCTTCGAGGCCTATTTATATGTCCTTTCCTTCATTGGTACCTATAGGGTTAAAGTTATGACATACCCTCACTAGATATACCTACCTAGGCATTTATAAGGTTCTTAGAGATGCTATCCCTACGGAAGTTTGATACTGGGTCTTAAAGTAGATAGGTGTGTAGGTGTTATCTAAGATTCGCGGGCTCCTCCTGATGGCTTGGTCCCTTTCCACCACCAAGGAACTCAGAAGGGGGCTGGCACTGACTTCAATATAATATTGAAGCTAAAATTTAACTCGTAAGGAACTCTTCCCAAATCTTAAACGAGGAGATAGTATGTATACCTACGCATAGACCTCGACATGTTTGTGATCTTTGTCAATGTAGGCTTCTAATAGGTACTTCGAATTAGGATAAACTCGAACGACTTCTAAATAATCCAACTACGATCATTTTCTTGGCCCCAACCACAGTAGCATAAAACAAGTATCTGATGGGACTTTTTATTTCAATTTAGGGGAGATGATTTTATGTTCTTCTATACATATCTATAGTTTAGGTGCCTACGTGCATATAAGCCCCTTCCTGTATACCTTGGACACATACCTAGGTATATTCAAAAGTAGACAACGGTGATTAAGGTTCCTTTGGATGTATTATATTGATTCTGCAGCTAGGTCACAGTCAGGTTACGAAGCTTCTTCAAGTTTATTAACCCACTCCTTCCAGACCGCACCGATGTCATTCTTATAAATCCATGACATGTCCTTCCCACCATCCGTAATAATCTTGTTCTTAACGCGCTCATCAAACGCCGGGTTCCCTAGCACCTTCAATTTTGCAGCACGTTTGTCGGCCTCGGAAGAAAGGTGCGCGTACATCCGTGAGTAGTATGGCAACCTAATAGCGTCGAAGAGCGGTAGAGCTTTACTAGTATCATTCTTCCAGTATGCCAGAGCCTGCGCTAAAATCCAACCATCCTCCATCGCAAACCCTGCCCCAGATCCGAACGCGCCGGACAAAGCGTGCGACGAGTCCCCAACAAGTACGACTTTGTTGCCCCACGCTGTGAGTTGAGCAAGCTCGGGACCAGCGAAAGCAGCAAACTCTCGCCAGCCGCCAGGAGGAACGCGCGCGAGCGCTTCTCTTATTTCGGGCAGATACTCCTGCATTGTGTTAGCGAGATTAGGCATAGTTAGAGGACGGATAATACCGTAAAATGCGACTCAACATGAGCATTCTCAACTGGAACACCCCAGCTTTTCTTATTTGCGCTATGGATTGCTGGATCTTGCCATGCCCTAGAAGCTATCTCCCATAGGCCTTCCCCAACAGGAGAAAAATAGACATGTGTAGTCGGCGTATGCCACCACCCGGTAATCTCGAAGCGAGGGTCTAAGTCTTTCACGTCGTCCCAGGGTAGAAGAGTCCTCCATATTGTCGTTCCTGTGAACTTGATTTCGTAATTCGGCCAAGCCGTATCTCGCACCACCTATTTGTCTCCTATAAGAGACTCTCTTTTAGACTGGATAGTGAAGAATGTCTTACAGATCTAATGCCGTCGGCACCGACTACTAGATCGGCTGTTACAACACTGCCGTCTTCGAAATGTAGCTCAACACCCTCGTGACCTTTATCAATTATACGTGTCAATCTCTTGGAGAGATGTATTACGCCAGGTTTCACGTGCGCTAAGAGAGCTGATTGAAGCTTCGTCCGCTGGGTTCGAACCGGAGGTCTCTGATCAAAATTCCTCGGCTTCTCACGGCGGTCAAGCTCCTCCCCAGAGCGTCCATTCCTTCCAAGAGTTTAGTAATGAGTTTTAACGAGTATATCAGCACTTACATATTCAAAATTACCCATGTCGGGTGGCCGCTGGTTAATGTATCGGCGACGCCAAGGAGCTCCAGCACGTTCCACGTATTCGAACCAATACTTATACCAGCGCCTACTTCCCGCAATACTGTAGCCTGCTCATAGAGATTTACCGAGACATTTGGAATCTTAGAGAGGGCGATAGCAGTTGCGAGGCCACCGGGACCGCCACCGATAATGGCCACACGTAAGTGGCGACTAGAAGAGTTCACAGTCATCTTAAAAATAGACAACCAGGTATGTAGGTGAACGAACACCTATTACCAGAGTCTTGGATATTGGTATAGTCCTTTTACTATACAACTCCGCCTCTATAAGCGACTTATAGAGAATAATTACAAACTCTTACAAAGCAGTATAACGTCAATCATCACGTGAATGACGTGCGAACGACTTACTCCTCTCCTGGAAGTTACTGATAAGACCGAGTTCATCAAGTGGCCTTATGGACGTAGGACTCAGTGCATACCTAGCTAGTTGAGTTAAGAGCGAATGTTATACTGAGGTCTATCAAGGCCATTCGGTTTTCGCCGGTTTGTGTGGTAATCGCAATTACCCCTGTCTCAATATAAGCAACTCAGGCCGACCTTCAAATCCAATCCGAGCTGTACGAAGCTAAGATGATTGGTCTCGGAAAATATCGAAGTTTTCTTGGCTTATGTTAAATACAGTTACCTTGGCAAACCTCCAGAATAGTTTTGTCAACCACTGATAAATATCAAGTCCATTACATCGACATATATCATGTTAGTACAAAATCCTAGGAATACGCCTTGACTTACTTAATGTACGCAACACTACCTATATAATATAGACTAAATCTACCGGACCGGAAATATGCTGTTTTAACCTCTCACTATAATCTTAAAAGACATACCTAGGTCAATGATTACATGTATGTTAATGTTTTGTATAACCGTTTAGTCCTTTATATGGCATAAACCCATTTTGTGGGATAGGAATTAATATAATTTAAATAATAGGAATAATTTTAATAAATCATTATAATTGCAATATTAATTTAATTAATTTAAATTTATTTTTAATCGATTGCGTTAATTACGGGCATTTTTACGTGTTTTATTTTTTAAATTTTTTTCTTTTTTTAATGTAATATTATTTTTTATTAACGTTAGTTTTAATTTTTATTTAACTTACGTTAATTTAATCTTTAAAAAATTAATAAATATTTTATTTAATTTAAATAATATAAATTAACGTTTATTAAACATTAAATTATTTAATTGTAATTATAATTAATTAATATTAATTTATTAATGTTATATTTTAATTATTATTAAAAAAAATGCTTTATTATTTTTATTTATTAAATCGTAAATGTTATAATTAATAAACCTGTCGTTTTTTTTTAACTGTTTAAATTACGTAATAAAAATATATATATTTTTAAACGTTTTTTAAAAAGTTTTTAATGATTTATAAAATGGTATATAAATTTATATTAACGTTATTAATTAAATAAATAAAAGTTATATATTACCGATTATTTTATTAACATTTAACGGTTATAACTTTAAATTAAATTAATTTAAATAAATGTTACGTAATAAAAAGGTTTTTTTATTAACGTTTATGTATAATTATAATATTTGTTATTTGTAAATAAACGCAGTAATTTAATAACCACCGTAAGTTATATTTTTATAATAAAAGTATATTTTTAAAAACGAATAAACGTTTATATTAAAAAGTTGTATTTTATCGTTTAAATGCGTTAACAAATAAATAAAAATTAATTTAATTTTATATATTTTTAATATAAAATAAACGTTAATGTAAATTATATAATTATTTAATATTAATAATTTATAATTGTTATAATAACGTGGTTTTATTTTAAATAAAAATATGTTTTTTAATTATTTATAAACATATCATTACGTAAGGATTAATCACGTGTTAACACGTGATTAATTTTTACATAAAAAGTAATTTTTTTTAAATAATATTTATACATATAATTTATAATTAATATAATATTAATTAATTAATATAATAACAATTATCGCGATAATTTTATTTTATATTATTTTTTTTTTTTTTATTTGTTACGTTATTTTATTCGTTACATTATTTCTTTTTATTATTTAATCCATACGAATACTTTATTTTATTTATATTAATTAATGGTTAATTAAAAAACAAAACCATAAATTAATAAGGTTAAAAAAAATCATAAAAAACGTTAAACGTTTTTTTTTATTTTTTTTTAACAAAAAAAAATAATGGTATTAACGGTTATTATATTATTTTAAAATTTTAAAACTTTTAAATAAATTAAAAAATTTACATTTATCACGCATTTTTACATAACTTTATTATATTTACAATTATAACCATTTAACATAATTTTTTTACAATTTAATATAATTTTAATATAAAATAAATATATCGATAATAATCTTTTAAATATAAAATTTAACATCGGTTAATTAAACATATTTTAATTAAATAATGTTTTTAATTAAATAAAATAATAACGGAATAAATTAATACGTATTATATTAAAAGTTTTATATATTTTAAATATTATAATAATAAATATAACGAAAATACATAAAATAATTTTAAAAATTTTTTTATAAAATAATAAATAAAATACTTTTAAAAGGTAAACCGTTTATTATAATCATTAATAATAAATTATTTTTTATATTATAAAATATATTTTAACAAAAAAAAAACTTTTTTAAAAAAATTAAAAATAATAATTAATGTTAAAAAATTCACAAAATTTTTATTTAATAAAAATACATATTTATTAAAACATTACTTTAATGGTTTTATTTTAATAATTAACCCATATTACGTTAATAAATTTAACAAAAACATTATAACAATAATATAATTTAAACTGTAAAAAACACATGCCCGTGTAAAAATAACATCCGAACCACTTTAAATACAAACAATACAGTTAAATAAAAAATAACCAACGGTACCGGAAATAATACAATCAATCACAACTACACCAAAACCAACCTTATAAAACATACAATTGATTTTATAAACAATCACGT